AGATTCCTCTTTAAGATATATATTAATGTGTATAAATTAGCGTATATAGTACTTCGGTATAGCTATTTAGACAGTCGCGTAAAGTTAAAACGCGGGAGATTAAAAGTATAGGTAGCGGTAGTAATAGTACGAATCTCTTACTTCTTTAGTAGCCTAGGTAGCTAATAAAAGCCTACCCTCTCTATTAAATCTTTTAGAGCTTCGGGAGCGAATTGGTGGTATGGTAGGTGGTTGAAATGACTAAGTGCTAATTCCTAGACGTGTTTTGGTTTAGGGTGGCGGCTCGCTTGTGAAATACGTTAACTAGCGGCCTGATTTGTCCACAGGATTACTATGGTAACCCCTAGTGGGTACGTGATTCGAGAGCATCAGTGGGACCGATCTGAACTACCGTCGTTAAGCTTTGACCTAGTGACAGAGATCTATTGGTTCAACACTGTATGGAACTACCAATAGATAGGGCATTAAAAATACTCTGAGTTCTCTGACTAACTAAAACGACAAAATCCGCTCTTTTTCCAAACTGTGCGGACAACGCCGACTAAACATAACATATAATTTGTGTGGGCCATACCATCATAGCGGTCTGTAGATTTTCCGGGGCATTCCACCCTGTTTTCAACCCTGTCTTGCACCACTGGTTTCGACATTTAGTCCTGTTACAAATCTGCCTTGTGCACAAAAGCCGTTACACAAAGTCGCAAGGCAATACCAACCTTTGGCACCGGGCTGCTGGTCACTTTTGGGAGGTAGCGGGCTGGCACTGGAAGCGTGTCAGGACGTTCAAGCAGGCAAACCTACGCCAAAGGAATGCGAGTGATCGTAGCCGAGTCGAAGTGTGATTGGCAAACCGCCAAGTCTTTACTGTCTCGCGTTGCGGGCGAAGATGGCTTTTTTCTTCTCTTGACATTGGAGTATAGTCGATTACGGCTAGAATGGGAAACTTGTGAAGCAGAAGACCTTTTGGGGCAGATGAAGACGAAATACCCCCATCCAATCCTTAAGCAGGTGGAGCTTGACCACAATTATGAGGGTGCCAAAGTGACTGGCAACCCGCAAAGGATCGGTCACCATCAGGGGTTGCGTCGTGCCTACAAAAGGAAGTTCGGTTCTTTCTGGAATGAACCCGATGATTTTCGCAAGGCGTTCCAGATCATGGCTGCAGAAATGCGGCTTGCTCGTAACAAGGTGTGGTATGCACACCCAGCTCGTGCTAGGAGAACAGAACTTCAGTCTCATTCTCAACACGGCTCTAACTCTGGTTTGGATTCTCGTGCTGGTCTTGGATCAGAGACAGAATCCCGATCTCAATCCCAATCTCGACATCAGCCTCAGCAAGTAGATATCGACCAGTAACTCACCTTGCTAGACAGGACACAAGAAGAGCTATTCAATAGGCGAGATAGGATCAAAGCCATCCTACGCCAGGGATCGAGCGAAGAATGCACAGAAGCCCTCAAAGCAGTGGAGCAAAGTACAATAATGCTGCTCGCCGACTTTGAGGAGTCAGCGACTTCACTGATAGCCCAGGTTGATGAGGCTGATGACATGTCCGATGAATAGACAGCCGAATCTCAAAAAGTTATGATGCTCATAATGGAAGCCGAGTCGAGAGCCAATGCAGAGAAATAACTCTCTACTAAGTCAAATTCCGAGAAATGGTAGCCAAGCCAGAAAATTCTGCAAGCAATTTGATGAAGCGCAAGCCAAGACGAACCGCTACTTTGAAAGATGCAAGACTACACTTGACGCGGAGGGGGGGGGGAGATTGGAAGATATGGAGCAAGAACTGTGACTCGATTCATGCATCAAATTGTTCAAGATAGGTCAGGGAGGTGATTGGAATCAAAATGCATTGGTGGAATATTTACAATAGAAACCTGAGCAGAGCAAAAGTCTGGCATCAGCAATTAAACGCAACTAATTTGACACGATCTCTTTCAACAAGTCTTTCTCAATATTCCTCTGAATCCCTCACATTCAACTCCGGAGAGCCAATTGTTTCGCCACTGGGAATTTGAGCCTCCTCGGTCGTATTTAGTCCAGAGCGCCAATCTTCCACGGCCGGTGGGCTCTCTTTCGCAGCACTATCGAACATCCGTCAGCAACAAGCACAAGCTAACGGTGACGAAAGCCATCAACTAGAGATTCCTACTCATGCTCCCGATCCTCAGTATCTGTCGTCCACTCCTCGGGAAGCGGCGGGCGCAGTGTATCTGCGGGATTCAGTCCTTCCTGTCTCGCAGAGGGCTCCATATTGTACTGTCCGTGATTTGAATCAGATTCCGGCTCTAGTGTCTCTTCGTGGTTCGCGTCTAGAACTGAATCTGGTGTCTGTGATTCGAGCAGTGTATGGGCGGCCTGGTCTTCGATAGGAACGTCAGAGCTCTGAAGCGCTCTTCGATGTCCGACTGGTGTCGAAGTAGCATTTGCTCTGCTGGTTCTGCCATTATCGGAGCTCTTTGCAGATTGCTTGCAGTCGTGGTTCTGGTTCTGAGGGGTTTGGCACCAAGGACAATCGAATTTATCTGCGTAGGCACGGTGCCAGCTTGCATGTGTGTGTTGTTGGTATCTTCTCATGATTGATTTGTAGATGTAAGTTTGTAGGTGGAGGAATGTATATACAAGGGGTGAAATGAAGGTGGTTTCATGTTTTCCGGGATCATACGGCTTTTTTAAGCGGGGATTGATGGCAAACTTGGAACTTTCTAACCGTTTTGCTTATTTCTTTTGCGTCCTTGCTGCTTGAACAGCCACCAAGTTGCTGTGCTGGCAATGCACTCGCGGGGTGAATGGTCACTTATCACAGCAATGGCGCTTGTGCATGGCGTCGATCTAATTTTGATAGGCTACCCTTGCACAAATTCAATGGCATGATGCACGGACAAATAATCATAATTATATAATCATACTATCATTACCTCGGGCTACGCAATACAGATCCCAGCTACGGACAGATGCAAGGAGGCAAATGAGGGAACAAGACAGATGGACATTGGGGGGAGCAGTTAGAACTGAATAAAGAAAATTGCCTTCAATAAACACCGAACTAATGCCCCCCCAAGAAAAACCCCTTCCGATAATAAAAATAAAAAAAAAGTGGTATGTGCCATGATCCGTCAATAACTACGACACTTGAATAAAACGCTGGCAGTTGCCTATTCCCTCAATTGAAGATATTGGTAGGAACTTTTGGTGGGAAAGATATGAAGCGAGACGCTTAAGCAGCAAGCTTGCGGATCTTCTCCTCGACGCGAGCCTTGCGCTCGGCGTGGGTGAGGCGGTTGACCTTGTACTTCTTGGACTCAGCCTTCCACTCCTCCTTGGTCTTCTTGGGACCAGCATTCTCATCGGCCTTGAAGGGGTCCTCACGGATGGCCTTGTGGGCATCAGCGTAGATCTCCTCGAGGTCACCAGCATCGATCTCGTTCTCAATGTACTTGATGAACTGGGACTTGTAGCGCTCCTCATCCTCATCGGCAAGGGTCTCCATGTACTCAGAGACGTGGGAACCGTGGATGTAGTTCTTGAGGGTCTCAGCGTCGAGCTCCTCGGACTCGATGTCGTAGCCGGGGAAACGGCGGTCGGAGTGGGGGATGAAGATACCACCGTCGGAGGCACCCTTCATGGCAGCGAAGACACGGTTACCGGTGGAGGTGCGGACGAGACCAACATCGAGGAAGGCCTTGAAGGGGCGGCGCTCGCCATCGTCGGTCTCGATGGCCTCAGTGAGAGTGTGCTCACCGGTAACCTCCTCGACACCCTTGAACTGCTCGTCAAGGTTGAGCTTCTTCAGGACACGACGGGCAAGGAGCAGACCGGTAGCGTAGGCGGCAGCCCAGTTGGTAAGACCCTGGTCGATGCCGTACTTGGGGAGCTCGTGAGCGTAGGCCGAGGCGAAAACCTTGTCACCGGTGACCTCAGAGTAGACGATCTGGGTGACGATGTCGCGGTTGGTGAAGCGAACAACCATGCGGTACTTGGGCGCATTGTACTTGTTCTTGGCCTGGGTGATCAGGCGCTTGCGAGCATAGTAGTCGGTCTTACCCTCGCGGCGGCGGCGGTACTTAGTCTGGAAGCGACTATAATTGGAAGCAAAAAGTTTAGCAAACAGAGATATTTCGAAAAGATTTTTGAACCAAGGGTTCTGCATACCTGAAGTAGGCGTTGTTCTTGACGGTCTTGGTGAAAGGCTGGAGAGCGAGATCGCGAGTCAGCAATTAACGCTTCAGAAATTAAGCCGAAGCAACTTGCAGGGACCCGGCTCCAATAGGAATTGGAGAGAGAATACGAAGCCAAAGGGAATGCATAATGGCTTTTCAGCCATCAGCGATCACTCACCATTTTGACGGGGTGTCGAGGGCGCTGGAGATGGACGAAGAAGAGAAAGCGGGAAATTTCGTGGGTCGACTTTGTGCGGGATTTCGCTTAGCGTGTGGCTGCATCCCCCGCCAGAAAACGAGGTCGGCGACGAGTGGGAACATCAACTTTCTAAACTACGGAAAATTAAAGAAAAACTACAACAAATTCAGGAAAATTGGAGAAATTACGAAAATGTTCAGGAGCTATTGTATTCCATTCTTTCTACATATTAAACTTCATTTTCTTCTCGAAATACTCAGTTTCGAAGTACAACGCCTCACAACCGTGCCTTATCCTCGTCCAGCAACTGAAGGCCTGTGATCTTCTCGAGTTCCTTGACAGCATCTTGGGTCTTTCCAAGTGTGACTTTCACTGTCCGCATGCCAGCATTCTTTGCCCCCTTCAAGTTTTCGCCGATGTCATCCAAGAACACAACATCGTCGGGATTAGATCCAACTAGCCCTCGACTCTTAGCTAAAGTATCCATTCCTTGTAAAGCCATCTGATAAATTTTAGGGTCAGGTTTTCGAAGACCTGTGTGTGCAGACGAAATAAAGAAATCGAATTGCTTCTTAACGTTGGATGCATCATTGTATTCATGGCCGTCGGGGAATATAACGGTGTTGGACAAAGCGCCCATCAGGAACTGCCCCGACTCTCTCAGTTTCTTCAGAGCTGGGTACATATATCGGTCTGGTGTACGAGATATCCGCATCATCTCCCAGAATAGCCATTCTGCATCAACCGTCGGCAGTGGAGGGATGGTAGAACCACTTGTGCTTTGTTTCTTTTGAAGCTGTTGGTGGAATTGTCTCCACCGCTCGGGGTCCGTTAGGTCCGCATTGAACCCTGCAAAGAAGTCGGCGTCCATCTTGATCTCGCCTCGCTCGAGCTTGTGCCAACAACCGTTCGGTGCCGTTCGCGAGATACTGAAATTGACCCATCCTGGTGGGATGTTTTGGGCAGTTTCATAGTCAAGAATAGCCTGAAATGGAGATGCAACCTAGAGATTTGTCAGTCCATATATCTTCAATCTCTGGGTCAAAGTAGCCGACTTACACACACTCCTCCGATGTCAAATAACAAGCCCACCGGCCGCTTGATCTTCTCTGTCATCCTGCGATGATAATGGGGCTGCTAGCGATAGCTATAGTCACTGCAAGATATGCCAAAGTTTCCTTCTAATTCGTGGCTAAAGGAGTTGTGATGACCTTAAAATCACAACGAATTGTTTTGCTCTGAACGCGATCTGGACCTAGAAGACGGTCAGTTTGCCGAGGTATATACAGTCTAGACCGAGGATATGCTTCCACCAAGAAATTTCATTGCCATCTTACAATGTACTTGAACCGTATACAGAGGATCAAACTATCATTCAGTTGGTGCTCATCAAATCCTTTCCCTCTATTTTGGTAGTTTGTGGCCCAAATCGGTTTGGCCATCCCGCAAAATCGCAATTGCGGAGAGACACGTGATGCATCTCTTATCGATAAGAACGCGCACCGAGAACAACGCGGGACTTTTTGAGACTCAACAATAGTTCTTTTCCAGCTCTGTTTGGATTGTGCTCAATATGGATTCAACTCGAACTATATCTGAGTTGAAATCTGCATTCATTTGGAGCCAAGTCCGTATCTTCTCCGAGAGCCTCGATCTACCCGAAGACTGGCGAAACTTTGCTGCTGAAACCACGGAAGGTGATCTGAGTGAGAAGGTGATCGAAGAAGTTCTACACAAAGGTCAGGACGCGAATCACCATTAAACAACTTAATCCTTTAAAGATTTGCGCCCATATTTGCGAGATGAACATTATGCTCATTGTCTTATTAGTAAATGGCGCTGCTAAGCAGCACAATCGTATTGTTTATTCCTCCCAAGCGATACACCATGTCGCCCAGCAGATTGCAACCCTGTACTGGTCATCGGTCAGCCAAGAGGCACGGAGCCGAGATGCTTTTGCTCAAGGTATTGAAAAGACTGTGGATTTGTCAAGGAAGATGTAAGATTTCCTCCATCTTCAGATAAAGGTGTGACAACACTGACTATATGGGTTAGGAACATCGCAAAGATGCCTGTCAACCTGGAAAGCCAGGAAGCCAGCGAAGAAGAGCAAGAAAGGTCAGTTTACAACCGCATCCGGATTTTCTCTGATTGAAGTTCCACCTGCCTTACACCAGTCGCACAGATACCGGCAGCTTCGTGAGCGGCTCACGGGTCTGGACAATCAACGGCAGCAACGGCAACGGCGCCTTGACCAGTTGCAGCATCTTCGTCGATTACTCGAGCCATTGAAAGATCCAAAGGGTGACATTCAACCTAATCTTATTACGAAGGATGGGGAACTTGTTCAAGAATTGGAGAAAATGCGCATGCTCGTAGCCAGAGTTGGAGGCCGGATCGCACAACAGAGAAAAAGCAGCGGTGCCCTTGAAACTTATGATTATTCACTTCCGGGCTCTGATCAGAGATTGGAAGCCCTGTTGGATATGTCTTGACGAAACCAAAATACCCCGTGCCCACAAGCGCATACAACGAAGTTATTTGCGATACGATACGATTACATATTGTGCCTCTTAATTTTTTTTTCCATTGTCGTTTCCTGGATTGTCTACTTGGATTTCGAGCACGTTGCCTGGGATACAATGTTCCAATGTCCATGTACCTTCCATCAGGGCAGCACATAGTATAGCCTCATGGATGTCAACAAAAGAACATAAGAAAGGCAAGTACGTGTCAATTACGACTTCATAGAACACATGCCATTGCACCGAAGCATAATTGAATAGAACTGGTTTATTTTCTCTCCAAATCTCGACCGTCATTGATCCATTACACTTACACACTCGTCCTCCGCCGGTCGGAAAGAAATAGGCTTCGCCCCACTGATATGCTGGGAAACCGACTCCCTTAGATGCGGGTTTTCTTGTCGATTTCCTATGCAGCTACTAATTTTTTAATTTCTATCCGAATGAGTGCCCTCAAGAAGATGAAGGAGCTTGTTGGCATGGGGAGATCACGTGAGACATTCAGATCACGTGCTGATTCAGCGCTAGCCCCACCTGCTAGTGTGAGCTCCCAGCACAATACGCCTGTCGACTGCCTACTGGAGACCTGTGATTCTAATCATAGCTCCCTTGACGAGACTACTATTGATTCAGACTCGAGTGATAGTGACGAGATAGTCCCTGATTTTAGTACACCCAAGACTACCGAAGGCAACACTTTTTCCTCCTCTTTCAAGGCTTTCACACGTGGGCATCGCCGTCGCTCCACGCACGTTACTCGCCGTGATCTTGAGAAGTTTCAATCGGAAGTCCTTGGCATTGAAAACCACGCATGCTGGTTCGACGAAGATAACGGCACCGGCACTCCGCAACCCTTCACTCGTGACGATCCTCAACTAGAGGAATTGAATCGCGCTTTCGCCGACGCCGACGTCTCTATGAACACGAACACCACAAGTATGGCTACCAACGGTACCGGCTCTGGTAACTTCTCGGGTTATGTCGAAAACAGTACTGGCGCGATGAACATACCCAACATCCCTCCCCGCCAGACTCCGTCTCCTTCTCCCTCCCACTCTTCGGTCACCACCCAGATCAATGGTGGCGGAATGGGCGCCATGGGTGCGGCAATTCCAATGAATGCTGGCCACCAGATGGATTTGCATCATCTCTATGAGATGGTAGTAGAATTAAGCGATGTGTTGAAGAACAACCGAGATGTGACCAAGAACATCGTCGCGAATGCGGAAGAGATTGTGGTATGTAGGACCTACGAACGTGCATTCAAATTCGATATTCAGCTAACACAGACTTAGAAAAACGGTATTGTCGACAGCTCTGGTCCAAATGGCCAGCAGGGCGATAACCTCAGTATGTTGACCCCTGGGAAGCCCGATCCACATCCCCATTTACTAACGCCTAGAGCAGTTGCGCGGATTGCCGAACTCGAGCGTGCCCTGGCCAAGGAAAAGCTTGTTAGTGCCGATCACAAGCACTATCGCGAGGAGAACGTGAAGATGATCCGGGAGTTTGAGACTGCCGTTGGTATCATGGTCGAACAAATCCGCAACTACTGCCAGAACAACAATATGCACTACCTTGCCCAGAAGAAGCATTACAATAATGTCCTTCAAGCTGAGCGCGACGCTCATCTGGAAAGCCGACTTGACCGTGACTACTGGCACGCTCAAACCATGAAATGTGCTGAAATGATCCGCACCGCCTACCGTCTCAAATGCGAAGAAGATGATGTCCCCACTCGCGTCATCTCCGGTCTGCAGAATGAAGTTCGTGCCTACCGCTTTGCGCTTGGCATGGAACCTGAAAAGCCCGAGGAGGAGTATGGCTGGGAATATCTCAAGAATATCCCCGGTCTGGAGTAGATGGGGGCCTATGTGCGGAAGGATTGGGGAATCGTCACCAATTTCTGAGGTCCGCTTGATGCCGTGATGACTGTTTCTTTTCACCGCATACCCCTCGGAGGCGTTTGTGTTTTCACTTTTTTTTGGTCTCTGCTCGGCACTTTTTCCCCTAAGAGATGGTGGCGTTTTTAGGTGTTCTTATTGTCGCGGATACCCCGTGTTTATGAGTGTTATGGTGTTCGACATCAGGACGCTCCCTTTTTTTTTTAAATGTCGAAACTAAAGTTCTCTTTGACATCCCTGCTCCCCCACCTAACTAATCCGCCGTAGACTGCACGTACTTGGAAGATCTGCGTACATGGGTCATGTTGTAGGTCTTGTGGTTTCCGCCACCGGAAAGCCGAACCTTCTCCGGATTGGTTCACTTCCCAATTTTTTTTTAACTTGCTAGTCCCTTCTCCCACGCTGCTAATATACTTTTTTTCAATAGTCGGAAACTGGTTATGTTACACTCTCACGTGTCCCCAACCCCCGATTATGTCACCATAGTTGCAAGCTTAATTGCCCAAGTGCATTCGGAAAGTCTGCCAATATCGCTCTCCCTATCCCTTTTAGTACCCTCTTGCATGATTTCACTATGCATTTCTTCCTGAAACAAGCCATGACATTGGGTCATTCACTGTAACTGGTGTACTTTTAACGCATCTGCAAAGCTCTCGGTCGCAGATCATACGGTACTCCCTAGCATTTCTCAGCATTTCCATCTTGTTCGTTGTGACCAGGTCTACAGTATAGTGTTTATCCACCTGATTCTCCTTTCAAATCTTTTTTGTGCGGAAAGTGGGGGACCAGCCAATGATGCGTCGTTCGATCTAGCATTATCCAGTCATTGCGCTCTTTATACGACGCCACACCGCTGATAAACCCTCGACGACCACCTGAGCACTGCGAAATTTGTTCGTTTTATCTCTGACTTTCGAGGTATTTCAAAATGGAGGGAGTTCAGACTGTGGACGTGAGCTGGCTTCATCACTCACAAAAAGGCAAGTCCCACTTTTTATGCTCGCACTTCTTCAGCCTCAAGTCATGGGTAGTTGGAGATGAACCGGGACAGCTTCTGACACTCTCTTCAGATCATTTGTCTCGCACAAAGTCAGTATCAGCAAACGATAGGCCTGGCACAGAGGCAGAGCCAGCGACCTCTCAACCTAAGCCACATCGGAGATCTCGTTCCAACAGCAACCCGGCACGCCCGACACCGGCCCCCTCCGCCTCAGAACCGAAGCCAGCTCCCCAGAATGATGCCGCACAAGCGCAGGCGAAACTATCACCATTTGAGAGGAACGAGGAGCATAAGCCATCTACGCCCTCGCCAGCGTCGCGAAAGACAGATCCCAAACCTATCGGACGACGAAATTCGTGGATCTCCAGTCTAAGCTCGAAGTTTTCGTCTGGATCTACCCCGCCATCGCAACCTAGTCTCAAGGCCAGCCCCGCGAGTCCGAAAACAACATCACCCCTCGACACCCATAACCCATTCGGCGCCGCCTACTTCCCGAGGGATAAGGACGAAGAGAAGAAAGACGACCCCAGTTCCTTTACTTCATCATCACCTAAGGGGCCCTCGTTTATTCACAATGCACTACGCAAGTTCTCGCACAATTCGGGTGGGTTGCCCAAGTTGAATCCCAATGGCTTGGTCTGTCCACGTCGCGTGATGAACATCGATCGAAACCGGCATCGATGCAAGATTGCGGACTTGAATCAGGCCAAGCTCAACCGAGTCGCATTCTGTGTGGATGTTGAAATAGCGGGCATTTCCCATCGAGACGATGACGAGGAAGCTCCTCCAACCAATCAATTACGGCAGCCTCTACCTGGGTCTAATAGCTACAAGCTCAAGAAGGCTGATCTCATATCGAAGGGACAAGACGAAGTTGGGTCTCTGAAGCAACCTCAGGCTACCGTCTTTGAAAAGGATAGTGCAGCTCCCGCTCCAGCCCCTGCTCCAGTTCCGATGCCTGTTCAGACCACCGGTGATGCGAAAGCCCAGTCTAGCTCTCCTCCGACAAATACCACCAGCAAGCCGTCTACTGACCCCAGTCCCAGTGGGGAAGGGACTGATCCAACAAGAAAGCAAGAGAAGAAGAAGCGTTCTGAGGCAGAGCGGAAAGAACGGAAGGAGAGAAAACGAAGACAAGCAGTCGCGAATGGCTCGGTCCCATTGCAACTCGATGCAGAGAATGACGAAGAGGATTTCCAAGGTCCAACACCAGGGCCAGGTCTCCCATGGTCCAAAACGCAAGGCCACCCGACAACCGACCCAGTGCGTATCTATCGCCGTTGTTGCCAGCTACGTGAGACGCCTGTTCTCAAAAGAGTGGTTGATGAGATCTCCAAGCCTTCATCAACACTAGCCGAATCACCCGGCACAGTAGCAGTTTTGGATCTAAGCAATTTCCCCATGACCTCACAGGATTTGACAACGTTCAGCGATTGGCTCGCAGTCGTTCCAGTCCGTAAGCTCATTCTTGAAAACTGTGCCTTGACAGATACTTCCGTGCGAGCCATCCTATCAGCCTTACTTTCTACCAAGACGGTGGAGCAGATGCGCTATCGACGAAGACGATCACGAAGACCAGAGTCTCCAGACTCCAATGATCATGAACGATACGGCGTTGTGGAAAAGCTTTCTCTGAAGGACAACACGAAGATCGGACGGGAAGGATGGCGCCACATCAGCCTTTTTCTTCATCTGTCGAAATCCTTGAAAGCTATCGATTTGTCGGGTATCCCATTTCCTCAAGGCCAGATTGTGATTGATGGTCCTGGGACAACGGGCCAACCCCAATCACACATGGCCGATGTGAGCATTATATTCGCGAGTGCCTTGGCAGAGCGCTTTGCTGGGGACTATCTTGAAGAACTGCTCATGAGCGAGTGTTATCCTTCGGTCAACGCTGTAAAGCAAATCTGCCAGGCGACCACCCAAATGGGTCTGCGAAGACTTGGCTTTGCGAACAATGGTCTGACGAGAGAGGGCCTGGAGCATGTGGCCGAGTACCTCAAAGCCGGGCAGTGCGAGGGACTGGACTTAGGTGGCAACGCTATAAAGAATGATCTCGATCTTGTCACGGGAGCGATTGAACCTGAAACACCGCTTTATGCGCTGAGTCTTGCCGATTGCTCCCTCAATCCGTCGGTAATTTGCCCGTTGCTCCAATCGCTTGCACAGATTCATAACCTCCGGTTCATTGACTTCTCTCACAATCGCGAGTTATTCTCATCACAGCCTAATGCGCTGGGGGCATTCCGTCGCTTCCTGCCGAAAATGCCGTCTTTAAAACGCTTTCATCTCGCTGATGTCGACTTGTCGCCAGATCACGTCATTGGTCTTGCTGAGGTATTGCCGGAGTGCCCCAGTTTGTGCCATCTGAATATTCTGGAGAATGAACAGATTGTAGCTCTAGCCTCTACCACAGACCCCGTTGCTCAGGAAGAAGCATGTGCTGTTTATGCGTCTATGATGGCAGCTGTCCGTGTTTCGCGGACGATCATTGCCGTCGATATCGATGTGCCCGTTGCAGAAAACAACGAAGTTGTCAAAGCGCTAGGATCGCAGATTGTGGCTTACTCGCTGCGGAATCTTGAAGGCGGCGCCATTGCAGAAGAGCTTTCTGACTCTACTTCTCCACTTGAGGATGTCCCTATACCAGAAATTTTGCAACATATTGTCGGACACGCTGGTATTTCCGAAGAGCCCTATGATGATGACGATGAGGCCGCTCCCGACGAGGATTATGTTATTGGTGGCACAGGTGTTGTTAAAGCATTGGGTGTTTGTCTCGGGAACCTGGACCAGCAAGGTCTCGATATTCTCGGCGAGCAATCTTTACCTGCCAGCGGTACCACAACACCCCGACGCCGCAAGTCTCGAAGTGTTCCCACCAAGCGGCCTCGCGACATGTCGAAGAATTTGCTGGAATCTGCACGCAATATCAGAGTCCGGATCCAGTCGGCCCTTATTCGCGAAGACCATGCAGGTAATGACGCGAATTATCGCCGCCTGCAATTTTTAGACATGACGTTGCATAAGATGATCCAACGCTTTGAGGATGAATACCCAGAAACTCGTGTCCTTCCCCCACCCCCGCCCGCTACTCTAGTCCCTGACAACAATTCCCAACACTCTGGTGATGACGATGGAACCGGCTCTATCGGTGCTAGTGGCAATCTGAACAGCAGCCAGCTTGACGAGACTGGCGGCGACGAGGAAGACGCCGACCAATATGCCGTTCGCCATTCTCGCACAAGTTCTATGACTTCCCTCCACTCTCGGGCCATGACTTCCCAAGAAGGACACATCCACCGCATCGGCCAGAACCTCCGCCGCGACTTCCTTAAACCGTCTCTAGTTCCTGGCGGCAGCGACGACGATTTTGAGTACGAAGGGGATGATTCGCACATTGCCGCTCTTCGGCAAAAGCTCGATCTTTTGCACGAGCAGCAGTCTTTGTCTCAATTCGATGACTTTGACGCCGACATGGCCTACAACCATCTCGGGACTACCGTCGATGAACTCTATGCTTCTCAGCAACAAGACGCCGAAGGATTCGAGCGCTTCAAGCAGTCCCAGATTGCCGCCCAGATCAATAGTGGTTTACGTCCAAGGGATAATGTAAACCCTAGGACAGGCTGCGATGAACCAGAGAGCAAGTCCTCTCCTTAGGTTCTTGTATCTTCATTTTTTATCATCTCGGTTTACCATCTTAACCCCCTGTGTATTCTTTTGCAAGCTTGCGTTCTTATAATATCTGTATATACTTCATGCGCGCGTGTCGTTGAGTATTTTCTATTCAGCCCGGTCTTCTGTATATACGTGGCGGGCACGGAAGGGGCGTAATCCTGTTACCACCAGCATCTTCGACGTCATTGCGACTACCTTATTTGACTATTCATCTACCTGTGGTTATTTCGGGGATGTATCAATCACTCTTCATAATCAAGGAATTTCCCCATCTATTTATTTCTCTCATTCAAAATGGGTCTGAGCACATCTTCCAAGTAGGTAGCAAGGTGTTGGCTGCCTCAGGCCAGTGAGACTACCTGAAAGTGGGTTCCTCGGCTGAACATCCCCGGTTTTCTGGGGTATCACATGTCACCTCCGTCATGGCAATGACCTATTTCTCAACTCCCTCAACGCCATCAAATTCCTCGACTTTCTCAATAGCGGAGATGTATGCGCCCATATCTGGCTGATCAGTCTCTTACAGCTCCGCCATGGCTGCTCAATCTAAACTACTACCGCCCGAACGCTCCATCAAACATATCCTCTCCAGCCTAACAGCCCTCTACCTGCGAAACCGCACCCGCATCTCCCGCACCGTATACATCGCCCTCTTTGCCGCGCTAGCCAAAAGAATCCACAATGCCATCTCCGAGCAAAAAGCTGCGTCACAGCAGGTAGACCTGCGCCGACGGCCCGGCACTAGCAGTCTAGGCGATGAGGAGCAACCTCGCAAGAAACGCGTGGAGATCAACCGGGAATTCATGACGAACTTGCTCCATCTACTGAAGATTGTCATACCTGGATGGCGAAGTAAGGAGCTACGACTGCTGGTGAGCCATAGCGTCTTTCTGGTGCTCCGGACTTTGCTTAGTTTGTACGTCGCCGAGTTGGATGGAAGACTTGTAAGCAACTTGGTGCGCGGTAGAGGGAAGGATTTCTTGCTCGGTCTTTTCTGGTGGATGATTGTGGCTGTCCCTGCCACTTTCACTAATTCGATGGTAAGTCCCCGGCGATTGGACCCAGGTTACAAGTCTGAAGTGCTGGGATGCGACCGTTCAATGCATTTGCTGACTTGTCGATTTTGGTGTATTAGCTCTCCTACCATCAGTGCAAGCTTGCGCTCAGCTATCGCAAGCGCCTTACAGGCCATATCCACGAGAAGTATCTGTCTAACATGACTTTCTATGCCATCTCTGCCTTGGACGATCGAATAAAGAACCCCGATCAGCTCGTCACGGTCGATGTGTCTCGCTTCTCGGACAGTCTGGCAGAACTGTACTCCAATTTAGCTAAGCCCATTCTCGACATGGCTATTTACAATTACTCGCTCTCTAAAACTGTGGGAGGCGAAGGGTTGTTCATCATGAGTCTGCTAGTGCAGTTATCTGCCAACGTTATGCGTATGCTGACTCCACCATTTGGCAAATATGTTGCCGATGAGGCCAGGTTGGAGGGTGAATTCCGTTTCCTTCATTCACGGCTTATCGATTACAGCGAAGAAGTCGCACTTTACCATGGTCACGAGGCCGAGAAGGATACCCTGGACAAGGGTTATTTCACGTTGATCAAGCATGTAAACCGCATTCTGCGCCGGCGCCTTTACCATGGATTCATGGAGGACTTTGTGATCAAGTACTTCTGGGGAGCTATGGGCTTGGTACTCTGTAGTGTGCCTGTCTTCTTCAAGATCCCCGGTCAAGTCACCCACAGCTTGGGGGATCACACTGAAAGTACGTTGATGTCCTTTGATGTTAAATTTTTTTACATTCTGATTACTTACAGGCTTCGTCACAAATCGTCGAATATTGCTTTCTTCCTCGGATGCTTTTGGTCGATTGATGTTCTCCTACAAAGAGATCTCGGAGCTGGCTGGCTACACTTCGCGTGTCTCCTCACTACTGGAAGTGATGGACGATCTCCTCGCGGGAAGGTTCGAGAAGAAGTTGGCGTCCTCCGCCTCAACAGAGGAGAATGCGGCGGTGCTGTCTGGTCGGGGCAAAGTCATAGAAAGCGACGCAATTGAGTTCACTGACGTACCGATCGTCTCCCCGAACGGTGATGTTTTGGTGCGTAAGCTTTCCTTCGCCGTTAACCCCGGTGACCACCTTCTGATCGTCGGACCCAATGGGTGCGGCAAATCCTCTCTGTTCCGGATCCTGGGCGGGCTCTGGCCGGTATATGGAGGCACAGTGAAGAAACCCCCTTTCCAGGATATTTTCTACATTCCCCAGCGACCCTATCTGTCCCGTGGGACCCTGCGACAGCAAGTGATTTACCCAGATGGAGTACGTGAGATGCGTGCCAAGGGTGTCACTGACGCCGATCTTTACGATGTCCTATCAGTGGTTGAGATTGAATCCGTCGTAGATCGCCCTGGAGGCTGGGATGCTGAGGAAGAATGGCGCGACGTGTTATCCGGTGGTCTGCAGCAGCGCATTGCTATGGCCCGGTTGTTCTATCATCGACCCAGGTTCGCCATTTTGGACGAGTGCACATCCTCGGTGACGCTGGAAATTGAGAAGGTCATGTACGAGACGGCCAAGAAACTTGGTACCACGCTCATGACTGTCTCACATCGACGCAGTCTCTGGAAGTATCACCAGAATATTCTGCAATTCGATGGACAGGGTGGCTATATCTTCACCGGCCTAGACTGGGAGCGACGCTTGAAACTCGAAGAGCAAGTTTCCCTAGTTTCCCGATCTTTTTTGCCGAATGCCCACTAACGTTGTCGCAGTGAGAAGGAAGAATTGGACTTGCAGCTACGGGCTGTACCGGAATTGCAGCGCCGGGTTGCCGAATTAACGGCCTAGTTTCTTATCCATCGTTTTATGCTCCGTACTATTTGACAGTCTCTTAGCGTTGAACAATGTCTTATGCATCCACTTACAATGATATCGACCAATCCCATCAAAAGTCCCAGTCTCGGCCTTCCACTTTTTGGCATTCTTGTTGTGGACCCCCCTGACAACAGCCAATCAGCGCCAGTTACATCAACACTTGAATTCTCACGATGTTCAAAGAAGCCCTTTGCGGCCCACACTGATGTCGTTATAGATCCCTACGTCATATTCCTGGTCTATCTTGTTTGCCACGAAGAATCCCAGGTTCTTGATGGATTCGTACGTTGCATCGTTGACTTGGCCAGTTTTGCTTCACGTCTTTTTAACTTGTACTCCGTATCTTTCCAACTCTCTCCAGTATTCCTATAGAACCCATACAATTTAAACACAGAATGGTCATCTCACAGACAAATCCCAATCAAAGAAGAAAGATCATTATCTTCTCTGGTATGCAACCTCCTTACTATTCACCGTCGCCGAGAAACCCTACCCTGTATCTTCCCAATTCTAGTCCAAACCCTCCAATCCCAACCACAGAGCTCCCAAGTGCACATAAGATGACAAAAGAACCCCCCCCCCCAGATTTTGACGGCACAATCTTCCTACAAGACACCGGCCACGTCCTAGTAGACAACCTAGGCTGCGGCGTAGCCTACCGCAACAAGCTCGAAGAACAATTTAAAACTGGCGAGCGATCCTTCCGCGACATTTCAGACGACATGTGGGGATCCCTCAGCATCCCCTTTGGCGACGGCTTCGACATAATGGAAAAGAACCTCGAACTCGACCCGGGCTTCCGCGAATTCCACCAGTATTGCGTCCGCGAGGGTTTCCCCTTCAACGTGATCAGTGCAGGCCTAAAACCCGTTCTGCAGCGCACGCTGGATATCTTCCTCGGCGAGAAAGAGGTAAGTGATTTCCAAGTGCCCTTCCCACCCTCCCTCCAATCAACAACATCAATTTTCCACTCCAGATCCAACTCCAGATCCAGATCCGTATCACCTAACAACCATCTGCAACCCACCCCCCCACAGGCATCAACAATCGAAATCGTCGCAAACGACCTAAAAGCACCAGGCGGAATCCCGTGGAAACCCGTCTGGCGCGACAACACAGATTCCGGCCACGACAAAGCCGAGAGCGTGAACCAAGCGCGCTCAAAAGCACAGGCAGAATGCGAGCCCGACGAGATCCCGCTGATCGTATTCATCGGCGACGGCGTGTCCGATCTCGCCGCGGCCCGCGAGGCAGATGTTCTCTTTGCGCGCCGCGGTCTACGGCTCGAGGAACACTGTCTCGAACATCACATCCCGTATACGCCGTTTGATAGCTTTGCTGATGTCAAGAGGGAGGTTGAGGCGATTAGTCTTGAGGATCAGAAGAAGACGGGTGGTGTTGGGAAGCCGGTGCGGTATAACCCGCGTGCAAATATGTGGAGGAGGATCTCTAGTAAGGAGGCTGTATGTTTCTCCCTCTTGCCCCCCCCCCCCCCCTTCCCTTTCTCTTGTTTTGAACTAGTTTGGCATGGGGCGGCTTTGCTAATGGGGTTGGATTGTAGGTTCCGACGCTTATGGCTACGGCTACACCTTCGCGGGATGAGAGGATGGTGCTTTGGCCGGATTATTTCTCGGAGCCCAAACAGACTCAGACTGAGCCGACGATTCAGGAGTGAAGTTGTTGTGGGGGGCTGGATACATTTTGGAGGCTCACGTTGTCATTGTTTGGACTTCTTTCTGGTTTTGGTTTTGGTCTGGAGTGGGCGTTGGTTCAATATTTTCAGTTATGACTGCCTCGAGGTAGAATCGCTCTATTTTTCGAGATTGGCTTGTTTATTTGCCTAGCTCTGTAAAGATCAAGTGCAGATCAAGTCTTTTCATCAACGAGTCAAGGATCTGTGTAACAGAAGGTGTAAAAGGAGGGATGTACTATTATTGCTAAGGATGCCGAAGAAGCCCATCAACAACTTGTATAATCACCAGAAAAGAAGGGAGGCTTCGCACTACCTATGTCAAACCACAGTCTGTTTATGCCGAAACATCCAGAGGCTCGATATTCCAGATACTATCAGCGTACTCATTAGTGACGCGATCCATAGAGAAGAATCCCATGCGCGCAACAGAGGAAATCGACTTGGCCAGCCACTCCTCCTGATTCTGGAATGCCTCGTCGACCATCTCGTGCGTGGTGATGTAGGAGTTGAAATCGTCCGAGACGAGGTAGTAATCGCCATGCTCTTCAATAGAGCTAGTGAGCGCCAAGAAATCAGCTTTGTCACCGAACATGTTGTCTTTAATTGCGTTGAAGACGCGCTCCAGCTGTGGGTCCAGTTTGAAGTCGCCGTAGAAGTGTCGATGACGTAGGTCCTCGACGTCTTCTGCAAGATTGCCGAAGAGGAAAATGTTCTGCACCCCGATCTCACGGGTAATCTCGATCTGTGCGTTGAGTTAGTATTGCTGGGACGGAACTTGGGTCCATGCTAGCGGAAGAAGACTTACGTTGGCTCCATCGCAGGTGCCAATGATCAGACCGCCGTTCAGGACAAACTTCATATTGCTCGTGCCGCTGCCTTCGGTACCAGCGGTTGAGATGTGCTCGCTGATATCCGAAGCAGGGCAGATAATCTCTGCCTTGCTAACATTGTAATCTGCAATGAAGATGACCTTCAGAAGGTCACCAATCTCCGGGTCCTTGTTCACTACATCAGCCACCTTGTTGATGAGATGAATGATGGTCTTCGCCATCCAGTAACCGGGGGCTGCCTTGCCTCCGAAGATGGAAACTCGAGGCACCACTTTCTTCTTCTCTTCGGCCGACATGGCTTTGATGCTCAAGTAGCGGTGGATAACCCCAAAGATGTTGAGCTGTTGACGCTTGTACTCATGGATACGCTTCACCTGCACGTCAAAGAGGGCATTTGGATTGACATCGAATCCCGTGGTGGCCTTGATGTGTTTGGCTAGACGCAGTTTGTTCTCCCGTTTGATGACTGCCCACTCCTCGCGGAAAGCCTTGTCGTCAACAAATGCCTCTATCTTGTCTAGAAGAGTGAGATCCTTCAGGAAGTCGTAGCTTCCAAGCTTCTCTGCAATCAACGCAGACAACCGGGGGTTGGCCTGGTGGAGCCAACGCCTCGGAGTGATGCCATTGGTGACATTGGTGAAACGGTCTGGTCCATAGATCTTCACAAAGTCTTTGAAGAGAGTGGTCTTGAGCAGGTCTGAATGTAGCTCGGCCACACCGTTCACTTTGTGAGAGCCAATGATGGCCAGATAGGCCATACGCACCATCTTGGGATGCGACTCTTCAATGATGGAGACGCGTGAGAGGATCTCTCGGTCATTGGGGAATCGCTTCTCAACAGATTGCAAGAAGAAGAGATTAATTTCGTAGATAATTTGCAAGTGCCGCGGAAGCAGGTTCTGCATCAGCGGGACAGACCATTTCTCCAGCGCTTCGGGAAGGACGGTGTGATTGGTATACCCAAAGGTCTTGATGACGATGCTCCATGCCTCGTCCCATTCCAAGCCTTCCTTGTCAATCAAGATTCGCTGGAACTCAACAATTGCAAGGGTAGGGTGGGTGTCGTTAAGCTGGATGGCGACCTGATCAGGGAACTCGGCCCAGGCTCGTTTGGTCTTCTTGAACCGGCGAACTATGTCATAGAGCGAGGCAGCACACCAGAAGTACTGCTGCTTCAGACGCAGTTCTTTGCCTCGCTCGAGGTTATCATTAGGGTAGAGAACAGCTGAGATTGTTTCCGCCCTCTGCTGGTCGGCTACTGCGCTTTCGTAGTCTCCAGCGTTGAACTTCTGGAAGTCAAACTCTCCGCTGCTGGCCTTGCTGGACCACAGACGAAGGTTGTTGGTGGTCTTCGTACCGTACCCGGGAATGGGGACATCGTATGCGATGGCTTGAACAATCTCACCATCCTCCCATGAGTGCGAGATCTTGCCACTCTCATCCTGGTATTTTTTGACGTTGCCATAGAACTGGATGTCGACTGTGATTTCGTGTCGCGGGAATTCCCAGGGGTTATTATCCAGCCAGTAGTCAGGAATCTCCACTTGGTAGCCATTGACAATCTCCTGTTTGAAGATACCATAGCGGTAACGCAGTCCGTATCCCCAGGCAGGGTAGTTCAGCGTGGCCATACTGTCCAAGAAGCACGCCGCCAGACGTCCCAGACCACCGTTACCCAATGCTGCATCGTGCTCCTGGTTGATGACGTCCTCGACGCGGAACCCAAGATCGCTCAATCCATCTATTATCATTAGCGTTAGTTCATATGACCGATCCTCTCGAAGCTTACCTCGAGCAACATCCTTCAAGCCAACGTTCAGCATAGCATTGTCCAATGTACGTCCCATGAGGAACTCAAGCGACAAATCTACCCCATCAATTAGCCGTTGTCTTCTCCCAGCGGGCTAGACACATACAGTAGACTCGCTTCTGATCGGTAAAAGTCTGACGCTGCTGAGTCTTGTTCCACTCAATGATCAATCGGTCTCTAAACGCAAGCGCGGTTCCCGAGTATGCGGCCCTACAGAATGTCCCAGGTCAGCAAGCACCGCTTGACTCAAAGGATACCAAGCCCGTACAACTCATCGCAATTATACAGTGAGCGAGCGAGGGTCGTTTCGATATGGCGCACGAGATCTTTCTGCGGGAGGCGTTAAACCCATTGTATCAAGTATGAACGCATCTCGAACTCACCTCGAATTCCTCTTTGGTAGTGAATTCAGTCGCCGACTAAATTGACTCGAGGCATTAGCTATTCAATCTGGAATTTCCGTTTCATCTCCACACACATATTTCCTCCAGCTGTATGATTCTGGTCAGTCCAACCATAAGACAATACTCAGTCAGACAGGTACTCACGCCTCTCGTAGTGGCTCAGGAATGCTGGCTTCAACATTCTTAATCTCGGCAGGCCCAAGGCCGGTGAATGTGCGCTTGTGCTTGGGACGACTGAATCCTGGACCGACAGGACCCTGGAGATCGGCAATAGGAGCTCCTACGGAAGGTCTTCGTTCCCGACGAGGTTGCTGTTGAACCAGTTCAGTCGGTGCAACCGGATCCGAGACGGTTGACATCATGAAAAGCGGAAAGGAGGAAGTTGGAATTTAAGAAAGCTGTAATTCTGGACAAAGTACACCAGAAAAAAAAAATTGACTGGCAGGTACAACGGCTACTTTAAAAGAGAAAAGAGGGGAAAGGGCCAAGTCCATGTCATGACTTTTGGAGTAACATCAATTCTTTTTTAGTTTTGATCCATTTCGGGGAGTTTAGGGGAGTTCAAATGATTTTAGTCCATCTTGCAGCCTGTTTCTGGTCAAGTCAGTGTCATCTCTCGACTATATTGTATACTTCCTTGACGGTACAGGTCCGTGCAAGTATACCTCTCACATCATGCCATTTCTAAGTTTCGTCTCCAAGACATTGCCAGGCTCTCAAAGCCAATATAAATTCCCCCACTAGATCCCGACTCTTCGGCTCCAGTGTATCGGCTCCACAATCATCTCCGGAATCATCTCCAGGCCAATTAAGTCTCTACGCCATTTTCATACTGCGTGATTATCATCCCTCCGAGCTTGCCGGATGCCAACAAACCCTGATACCCCCACCAGGACCCAATTCACAGACGCATCATACCGTGCGTCGAGGCCCCAGTGCGTATCATGACCTGATCAATCTGAGGTAAGTACCCAAACGCATTACTCGATGGTAGACACGATGGTATTTGCTCTTGTGGGGGGGGCTTCAGTCTCCGGGGCCTCTCAGACTCTGTTGTCAGGAAAATCGTTAGTAGTGGGGCGTGGTGGCTGCTATGATGTGGGTGGCTGTGTGATGGGATAAGATGCAAGAGAGCTTTGGTTGGGAGACGGCAGGTCGGGGGATTATTGCCCATGACTTGATGATAACGAAGAGGGATGTTGTAGGTTCGTTGGGAGAGTGATCGAAATATCTTCCCTGGATTTCTGGGCTTCTCGCTTCCGTCGCCCCCTTTTCTTATACTTCTACACTAGAGATCAATAGAAGCTCTGAGTGGGCTATCCAAGTGCTAGAGCTTCTCACGACTACCATCTACACTTAGCACATCTACGGCAAACAGGATGCAGAAACCAAAGTAGATTCGAATGGGAGAATTGATTTATCGAGGCTCAGCTATGCATAAAAAAGCCTGGGCTACGTCCCAATCCCCAACTCCGTACTACCCCAATTAGAGCTCCGGGGGATCATGAGCTGGCACATGGCCCAGGCTCAGTAACCCCGGTACCGGTCTATGCAAGATAGATAAGAGTCCTCGGAGCGTGAAAACAAAAACGCTGGAGGACAACCTAGCAATAATGAATAAAGACAAAGAAATCAGAGAGCATCAGGCGTGGAAGCGCTTAGAATCGTGGGTTGATGGTGAAGTGACAGGAGAAAGAAAAGACAAACACAGAGAAAGGAAAATTGGAAAAGAGGAATTAGCGGGAGTAAATATCAGAGACATAGCAATGTCGAAAATAGGAAGACCACCATGGTATACATGAGGGATTGGAAAAAGGCCTCGAGACAAGGTATTGGAAAAACAAAAACGTAGGATATAGTGAAGGCAACCGTGGAAACAGAAAGCCCATTAAGTAGGCTGGTGTGTACCCCGTTGGGATGATCGAGTCCACGAAAAGAAAGTCCGGAATGTGTTCTGGCCCGCTACCGGGGTTCTGGCCCGGTGGCATCCTCGGGGTTGTCATACACTCATTCCGGGGCTTTATCAAGAGGGAAAAGGCACATGGAACAGGAACTGTAGCATAGTGGACTTTCCCGAACATGCTACCGAGACCTTTATGGAACATCGACCCATGTTAAATAGAGGGAAACCGCATTAAGTACCAAATGGAATGTCCTAGACCAGAGCCAGCGCCTGGGAAATCAGCCGAAAAAGCCATTAAGGCGCCATCAACGCCTGCAGCTCGTCAAAAGTAAAGGAAGGAAAAAGACGAAAAGGGTATGGTATGAGAGGTCGTTGGAAAACTGTTCAGGCAGTCTCCTGAAGAGGCGAATCAATGGAACACCGAGGGCGACGTTGAGAATAGGGACGGTGTGAGGTCGTAAGGTTGGATTGGAGGGAAAAGTACGCATAAGCACCTGAGGACATTTGTGTGACTGGGTCCTTGGGATAAATTTGCGCGGCTATAGAATACCTGAGTCTTTCAAGGCATTCTGCAGGATAGTCTCTTTGACTGCTGCGAAGACCAAGCGGATATTCGAGGTATCAGTCGCTTGTGTGAGACTGAAGGGGAATAAGAAGTGGTTAGAAATCACGGTGGGTGGGAACTGATACAGTTGGGATCATGTGGAACTCACTGTGGGTATAGGTTCAAGTGTGCTCGGTTCACCTGGTTGAATCGCCAGAGCAGGTACTTGGCGGCACGGTGCACGTCGTTGCCGCCCGAGTAATCGGGGAAGTAGTTGCTCAACGGCGATCTAGGCAGTTTCAAGCGAAACAAATCGACTTTGTTCAGGAACAGGATGATGCTTGTTCGCATAAACCACCGAGAGTTGACCACGGAGTCGAAGAGAACCAAACTTTCCATCATACGATTCTGCGGGGTCTGTCAACTCCGATATAATGTGCTCGGTGGATTCAGTTGTCTTACCTGATTACTTTCTTCCAGTAGTACTTGATCATATTCACTGAGCGCAACGCAAAAGATTATGGACGTCACGTTTTCGAAGCAATGGATCCACTTCTTTCGTTCACTGCGCTGGCCGCCCACATCAAACATGCTGTCACGGGTTAGAGATATCCCAAATCGTGGGTGCCGAAAACAAGTTCCACGTACTGTATGCTCAATTGGCCCATTGTGAAACGTGTCTCGTAGATACCGGTGGTCTTCGTTCTTGCTCGGAGTACATCTGAAACATCCGGGACGTAATTGGGGGCCGTTATCCGTTTCGCTTCCTCGAAGAAACTAATCACGGGTTAGAATTCGGCCTTGGGATCAAAGACGGAAGGATGGGTGGCCTTACTATGGTGCCGAGTCCATCAGATAAAACTCATTCTGATGTTCCAAAACTGTTGATGTACATGGGTCGTTCCAGAGATATGTGATGGCATCGCCGATTTTCGAATCAAGCGCAGTGTTGGGATCCGGATCCACGTTGTACTCTTCCAGAAATGAAATGTAGTCCTGCACCTTCTGGCTGGACGGTTCAAGCTGGAGATAGTGATATGCTCCAATGAGGGCTTTTGCGCAATCCAGGAGGTTCTTGTACACGGTTAATCGATACAGCGCAAGTTCTTCCACGGTGTAACCATTCTGGTGGATGATCTTCATCTGTTTTACGATCGTTGATTTGCCGCTTTCTCCTGATCCTGAGTTTGAAGTCAGCCAACCACCAGCTCTCCAAGCGAGCACCGGAGTACCTACCCAAAAGAAGGATCTTGCATTCTCTTCGTAGCCGCCTAGAATCTTCTTCTAGCCTACGGTCAATCTGTTGGCTTCGCTTTTTCTGTTCCACGTCCCCTACGGACTCCGAGCTGAAACATGACCCCATTGCAAAATCTTCAGTGACCCAGACCAGCAGGTAGGAGACTCATCAACCGCGCGCAAGAACAGACTGTGCCGGTCAAAACGGCCGGAGCCTTCGCTTGAGAAGATTGCCAAGCGCCACGCACGGGGAATGATCAGCGGGACCCGGTATGGAGATGGATGTGCGTGATATCGGAACCGCTTTCAATGGGAGCAACTGTTGCAAAGATGTCAAGGCGAGAGGTAAAGGTTGAAGGAATTGCGACAAGTGAGTTTGGAAGGAGAGTCGTGGAGTTCGGGTATAGCGGTTAGGACGGGGGCGGACGGGAGATGGGGAAACGCGGAGAGTCAGGGATGAGTTGGGATGAGCCGTTAAGATGTAAAGAGTGATAAAGGTAAGAGTACAGAGTAGAGTAAGGGGAATTAAAAAGTGTCAAGAGAACTGTTCAAAGAATCAGAGAGTGTCAGTGCAACCATCGTCATGCTGGGGGAGTGGAGATGACTTTGGGGAGAGAGGGTAAGAAATGTAAGAAACCTGTACGGCTCAGCTTACATTTGGTAAGAAATGTAATACCTGTATTTCACCTGTTTTCTTTCTTTTTCTTTCTTTGGGTGGTGAGAGCTTACATTATTCCCATTTCAAGGTTGCTCTGGGTCTCTATTCGAGCTTCTTGTAATATCAGGGCATTTACCTTTATTTTTTAGATTAAAGATACACCTAATTAGCCATGTATCATGTAGGTAAAAAAGGAAAACCTGGGGGAAATTAGGCACGTTCTTCTGTCGGATCTCACCTGTAGGTAATGATTTAGTACCAAATTCTCCTAATTTTCGCCCGGGCAAAAATCACAGTCACAAATTGTAAGACTGACACTCCTATAAAAGAACACTGTTAAAGCGAGAAACGATAAAAACTGCCCGAGGGTTCTAATCTAACGGGGCGCCACCAGATGACCGTCTGTGCAATCATGCGTTCTTGTCCCCTATCAGTTGTTCAGAATGGTCGATCAAAATTTTCCTGTCTAGATTTACCGCAAATCTCGAATACCAATCTCTGACCAGGAGTTCTGTACTCCGTACTCCATTTCATACTCTTTCAGCCCACTCTAGAGCTTTAAAGTGGAGCGTGACGAAAAATGGATGGCTGCCTCAGGCACACAGGCGGGGCTGTGTGGCAGGTCACCGGTGTGTGTCTGACATCTACCAACTCCGTACAACAGCGGGACACTCTCCATTAATGTATTTCCTTCTATCGGATCTGAATCTGCTTTCATCTGAACTACATGTCACTTTCATGTGCGATTGGCTTATCTCGGACATGTGGTGAAGCCGGGCACTGACCCCTTCTCTCCTCAGAACCAATTAAGCCTTGTGGGCAGATAGGGGTACAGGCAAAATCAAGGCCTGGGAAAGTGCTTTGGTAGTCTTGATCTTATCAACACCTCGGGAATGCGACGTGAAGGTAATTATCAGGCATCTCGAAGAGTCACTCTATGCGGAGATATATATTTCCCAGGAATTTTACAGGAATTCTACCGGCTTACGGAACGTGCTTCCTATGCTTAGATAACCTTGATCCTCCGAAAATGAAAAGTGTAATGTGAGATGCACTTCTGTCCAGTTGCAACCACATCATTCAAGGTCTTTGTTACATGTCTGTAGGTGTATTTCAAGCAGGAGCGTGGCAGGCATTGTTTCACATATCTTAGCCGCCGAATTTGCATCCACATTGAACGATGATAGGACCCGAAGACCCGTTGAAACTGATATCCAAGCCAAGGTCTCTGGGTGATTTGCTTTTAGGGTTATATTGTACACGGCTATCACGGTTGGGTGCAGAGTCCGGGTCCTTGATATAAACTGATATAAACTGATATAAACTGATATAAACTGTGTAATGTATGATGTGTGATTTATGGTTTGGAAGTTGGCGTTGTAAAACCATCAAGACCACACCACAGAAGATCGGAGCTGAGCTAGATAGGAAGGAATATTTAATTGGATAGTGGTTGTGTTAGGGTGTGCCCTTGTTCTGGACCTGGGAGCCCCTCTTGTACAACAATGTTACTCGGCACAGTCTATCGGATCCATCAGAGCATTATAGAGGAAGCTACGATCCAGCTTATATACACGTGAGATTGATGAACCTCCAATCCTTATCATGTCCGCTTTAAGGAGATTCAAGATGAGGGGCTGTACTGTGACCTGCCAAGGTTCTAACAAAAAAGGCCCAAGAAATCTCCATATACTTGTTCTTGGGCGAGTTACGTGCCGAAAAATACAAAGTACTATAGGTAGTAGATAAACCCTTCTTGAATTAATCTGTATAGAAGTGGTATACTCTGTTTCAAGAACATCAAGTAACAATGTGGTTCAAGGGAAATATCTCCGGGGATAAGACCGGGGTCTGGGCCGCGTTGTTGTGGAGCGAGAGCAACCTTGCAACCTTGCACGTTCACACAATCAACAGCACATAGAGTAGGATTTATTGTATAAGAGTTGCCCAATGTATACTTTTCTATGTGTCTGAAGTGAACCAATACAGTAGGACATGTAAATACTGCAACTCTCTCCCAATATCTGCTAAAAAAAAAGAAATCCCATCTCATCTACCTAGCTTCAAGCTGCTGAGTCATCAACATTAAACCGGGCTTCGCCAACGTCATCGGCCTTGTTTTCTGCGCTTTTCACCCAGTCCCTTCCCCACACCTGTTGCCAACACACTTGCTTTCTTTGCGACCCCTTTCTTCTGGCACTTATCTTTTTTGAAAAACTTCATCTTTTCTCTCTTTCGTCTTTGAAACTGAGGTTGTTATTAGAAACTCTCTCTTTCCCCGTTTATCTGTAAACCCCACCTTCCATCATGGCGGAATTCGTGCGTGCCCAGATTTTCGGCACCACCTTTGAGATCACTAGCCGGTTCGCAATGCCCTGTTCTGCTCCATTTACTATGAGCGTTTCAGCAGGCGCAGCCAGAGGAATCTCTGTGCTAACTGAATTTCTAGGTATACGGAGCTGCAGCCGGTGGGAATGGGTGCCTTCGGACTGGTCTGGTATGTTGCATTCTGTGTCGCACAAGATGTTTCCAAGTCCAGGTTTATACTAACTAGGCCATTAATACAACAGTTCTGCCAAAGACGAATTGACTGCGCAGCCAGTTGCAGTGAAAAAAATCATGAAACCCTTCAGTACCCCCGTTCTGTCCAAACGAACTTATCGGGAGCTGAAGCTGCTCAAACATCTCCGTCATGAGAACGTCCGTACTCTATTAATTGCATTGAGCATAATTTTTTGCTGACACTCTGCAGATTATCAGCTTGAGTGACATTTTCATTTCGCCTTTGGAAGACATGTATGTCCCCCTCATCTGCAAGGCGGGGTTAAACAGTGTAAACTAATGCCCGCAGCTACTTCGTCACCGAACTTCTGGGAACTGACCTCCACCGACTTCTTACTTCGCGACCCCTTGAAAAGCAATTCATTCAGTACTTCCTATACCAAATTCTGGTAAGATTTCCACGGGAACAATATCCGGGACGCTAGAATCTGACCTGTTGATAGCGTGGCTTGAAATATGTCCACTCCGCCGGTGTAGTCCACCGGGATTTGAAACCTAGTAACATCCTAATTAACGAGAACTGTGATCTGAAAATCTGCGACTTTGGCCTTGCCCGCATCCAGGACCCCCAAATGACCGGCTATGTCTCAACACGATACTACCGCGCGCCCGAGATCATGCTTACCTGGCAAAAGTACGATGTCGAGGTGGACATTTGGAGTGCGGGCTGCATCTTCGCCGAGATGTTGGAAGGAAAGCCATTGTTTCCTGGGAAGGACCATGTCAACCAGTTTTCGATCATCACGGAGCTGCTTGGTACTCCTCCCGATGACGTGATTCAGACCATCTGTAGCGAGAACGTGTGTATTCGTTAGTTCTTTTGGCGAAAGATGAAAACATGCTAACAAATGACGACTCAGACCCTCCGGTTTGTCAAGTCCCTACCCAAGCGCGAGCGCTTACCCCTCGCGAATAAATTCAAGAACGCTGATGCCGATGGTATGTGACATTTGAGCCGACTATAGGGATCTTGAACGCTAACTTGATTGTTTGTTCAAGCCGTTGACCTGCTTGAGCGGATGCTGGTTTTCAACCCAAAGCAGCGCATTCAAGCCTCCGAAGCATTGGCTCATGAGTACCTGGCGCCCTACCACGACCCGACTGATGAGCCTGTCGCACAAGAGAAGTTCGATTGGTCGTTCAATGATGCCGATCTGCCCGTAGATACTTGGAAGATCATGATGTATGTGCTTGATTTGTTACCCTGTCACGATTCTTCTTGTTAATCATCCACCCATAGGTACTCGGAAATTCTCGACTTCCACAACATCGAACAAGGCAACGAGGCGGGCGAAGCCTTAGTACAGGGTGCAGTGCAGGGTAACGCTACTGGACAAGCATTCGCATAATGGGTTGACGCGGCATTTCCTCAAGAAATGCTTTTCTACCATTGAATTCCAGTCTCAAATTTTGAAGTCTGGCCCTATTTCTGTTCAAGGGTGCCACAAAGCTGGCGTGCTCACTTCTGTGTTTTTTTTACTTATCGTTTTCCTACTCTTGTCCCTTTTTGTCTTCCTGGAGACCATTGTCCATAGCTTTGCCGGCGTCGTTAAGAATTGGTTGGTGATTAGGAGAAATCACACGGGTTATCTGATTTAGTTCATCGATGAAGCACCTCAAAACCATCTACTCCGTAATGCTTTGAAATCTGTATCCAATCTATTATCTCTCCAATGCCTATACAGCTTTTCTCTACTCCGTAGTCCAATCACCCTTGAGGTATCCCCACGATTTTGATGCCCTCTGACTGGCGGGGTTGCCTTTCACCGCCCGCTGCCTGTGCGATAACCGTATCAGCGATGTTCCCCTGTTTGCGACGATCTAAGTTTTGTGGGAAACCCACGAGGTCCTGGAGGAGAAGCACCTATTTTCTATATATTGCAAATCATTCACTTGAGCTATTATTTCTCCAAAATTTTTAATTGCATTTCTCACAGCCGAACCGAATCCCCTGTCGCAAGGTTCGGCGCGATGGCTGTTCACCATAAACAAGACCCAATTGTCTTGGTTATAGATTTCCACCATGCACGGTGAGCCATGAGACGCTCAAGACCCCGGGCTCATATCTTTGAAATGAATGCAAAGATGGATTGATCTATAGTGGAACCTGGCTGACTGAGACATACCCCTGTAGCGGCCCCGAGATTGAGCATTGCATTGCCGATGAAGGAACTGACCCAGCAACCGAGAATGACTGGTCTCTGCTCCCATTCATGGCCCTATCTGACGGAGCACATCTGTATGATACCCCTGTCTCCGACAAAAATTTCTCTTTCTCTCCCATTCTCTCTCCCTTTCTTGGTCCTCCTCTGGCGCAATCCCGCGACGAGGAAAACCGATATGCGCCAAACTAACTAACCCGTCGGATATCAGGTCGACCGAAGAATTCTCATACTTCACACTTTGCCAAAAGGGCGCATCTACTAAATCCGAAACCTCCCTTTTCGGCATCGCCTGCTCCCGCCAGATCGATTCTAGCTTGCTTATCAACCGCTCTGCCGATGTGACGCGGTCAACAGTACAAAAGGCCGTTGTGGTTGTGACAGATACTCCGCAGCGAGTAGGTCAATTGCGCGAGAAGCTCTCCGTGGTGACTTCGGCTTGGTTCGCGCAACGGTGCGTGGAATATACTTGCTCTGGTGGACTATTTGCTCCCCCGATGTGCTCGCTTGGGATCTGGATAGAGCTCGGCTTAGAGTGAGGAAATGTGGCTAATTTAGCACTCTTCTCAACAGTGACTTCTCGGATGTTGATATATTGAAGGTCTGTACTAGCTGCGGCCGTGTGTGGAATAAAATGCTGACATGGAAGCAGAAATTCCGCGAGGGCTTGGTAATTTCCCTGCTCAACGATGGCCCCAAAGACCAGAATTTGGGTAAGGATATCATCCATTCCGATATGTATCTCCCTAATGACAAGTCTCAAAATTTGCTAATTTATGAAGGCCTTTCGCTTAGGGAAATGATACACGAATTCAAATTCCAGACCTTGGTTCTCTTCAAGGCATTACTGTTGCAGCCCAAGATGCTTTTCTTCGGGACGCGCTGTGAACGCCTGTGTATGATTCAGTTCTCGCTTATATCTTTAATACCCGGCCTTCTCAACAGCTTGCAGGACTGCGCGGATCCTGCTTTTGACACCTATTCTCAGACGGTTGAAAAACCAACCTCTCTCAAGACGAGTGACAGAAGTTCTTTGTTGGCATACATGGGCCTTCCACTACAGATCTTCGGAAAGGGAAGCATGTTTGGCCCCTACACGCCTCTCCAGCTGCTGGATCTGTTGGCAGATGATGGCACAAAATCCTATGTGGTTGGCTCAACGAACCCCCTACTTCTCCAGCAAAAGGACCGCTACAGTGATATTCTAATAAACCTTGACGAAGACAGTATCGTGATAAATTCTCCTCTCCTCCGCAGTGCCCTGGTCCTTTCCGCAGCCGATAGGCGCTGGATTGACATGCTCACACAAATTGTCAACGACACGTGGGACGAGGACCATCCTTCACAACCCAAGACCCTTGGCTTCATGGGCTCCGAAGAATTCATTCGACTGCAGTTTGAAGAATACTTGCTGGCTTTATTGTCGTCCATGAAATACCACGAGGAGCTCTACCCATCTGATGCCGGAGAATCATGTCATCTCAGCAGAACCCAGCTGCAAAATCTTAACATTGAAGGAGACCCTGCCATTGACTTCAACATGGAATTCCTGGCCCAGTGGAAAACCACATCTAACTACGCCCTGTTTTCGCGTCTCACTTCGGATGCGCTCTTATTTTCCATCACTGAGCCACGTCACCCAAACGCCGGCGGCCTGATGATGGAAGATGTCCAAAGACGACTTGCACAACAGGTCGCAGACCTGCACCTCGATGAGCGTGTCCGCGAAGGCCGGGAGGCCCTGAACCGCCACATCTCAACCGGACAAAAGAAAATGAGCGCGGCGTTCACCAGCCTCTGGTCCGACATCGAGACAATGCGCGAAGCGCAACGCAAACGCAATGAAGAGAGAACAGCCTCCCAATCGCAGCGCACCTCCATCGACAAAGGAACCCCAACATCACCAACTCCCTCCTCCCAGGATCCCGCCGATGCCTCCTGGTTTGCAGGCCGCCAAAGGCCATCAGTCGACCTAACACAGGCCCAGGCCTCCGTGGCCATAGCCAGCCAAAAGGCCGGCTCATATCTTAGCTCGTGGGGTTCGTGGGCAATCGAAAAGCGCCGCGAATGGCAAGACAAGCGCGTCACATCTCCGAACCCGAGTGCCACCCCCCATACCGAGCCGACATCGCCATCCACCCCAGCCACGTCCGTCGTTCCCGAAACAGCCGACTTGGACCGCGGCCGCCGGCATTCCATCCAGAATAATAGCGAAGGAAACGAAAGCACCGGTGGCGGACTTTCTCGCAGCAGTAGCCGACGGAAAAGATGGAGCAATATCCTGCTCAGACGCGACAGCGGCGAGTTCCAGCGTCTTGATGGTGTCTCCGCGTTCGATGAAACTCCCTTCCCCAAATCTCCTCTGTCGCAAGGATTTCCGGCCCACGCGGTTGAAGCGGAGCACAAGCAAATCCAGGACGTTCTCCAGGAAGGAGAGACTGCTGGGCGGGATACCGTCGACGCAGATGGATTCTCTTCTGTGGCTCTCACGTCGAATGAAGGCCTAGGGTTGAGTTTAAAGGCCGAAGAGCCGGTTTCTCTGAGCCAGAAGGAACCCACACTCTTGAACCGTGTAGAGGTAGATCCACAGCCTGAGAACTTGGTCGCAGCACTCCCTCTCAAAGAAGAGGCTCTTCCAGCTCAGAGCAAAGACTCGTCTGATTCAGACTAGAGCGCTGGATTTGGGAGGTTGGGGTTTGATTTGCGTATTTAGGGTAATTGAATATTTCACGAACTTTTGGTCTTCTGTTCTTACTATCTCTCGCTTGTGCAGAGCACATATATGCTCGCACGATTCTCACGTTGATTATGTGTATACTTCTATCGGCCAGTACTACGCATATCGATCTACTGAATGAAATATTTGAAGTGAATCCGTCCGAAGATGTGTTGAATCTGGATCAGCGCTATTGTTGTGTCTTGTGCTCTTGTCTGCATTCCATCTAGAATAGACAGGTTGTCTTGTGGCTTTCATCTTGTTTCACATGGGGCTGTGAGAATACCTTCCAAGGATCTACTACAGAGAAATTTGTATCAACATAACCCTTTAGCCCTCATTCTTTCATTCTACCCTGTCATGGTCTTTCTATAGAGCCACCTGGGCAACCCTCTATCTTTTGAAATCTTTGAATTCCTATTGTCCAACTACGTAGAATGCCAACATCAATTTGTTATGTTTCTAGCATTTCCAGAGAAAGAAAATTAAAGAGACATAGAAGAGAGCAAAGAAAATAACCAGGTCATCATTTGTTTGTCGTCTCAGCGCTATGAAGAAACATTAAAGAAGTCGCCGACACAGTGAAAAGAATTCTTCTGCTCCTAGTAGCCTGATTTCATCCGCCGGCTACCCACTGAAGGGATCCCATCCCACACTACCTCGCGTTTCCCTCATTGATGGAATAAAAGGGGTTGATAGGGACACAGGAAACCACTGATGTCAGACAGAGACAGTAGCGAAAGCAGAGAGCACCGGAAAAAAAGGAAATAGAAGCAAGATGGTTGCGCAATATTGGAGGAAGGAGGGAGGGTTTAACTTGATTTAAGCAATGTATGAGATTTCATCGCCGTCCATACGCTCAATGTAGTCCTTCTCCATGAGGGCTTCAATGTTTTTCTTGATGTCTGGGATTTTGGGCGGGAAGCGGGACTTAACCTGCTGAATAACCTCCTGGACAAGCTGGACGTGCTTCATCTTCTTGCGCGACTTCATGATTCGAACAATGGCGGACTACAACACGATTAGATCAAATGGACGGCGTGGGGGTGGATAGTTGATTAGAAGACATACCTGGAGCAAAAGCTTCCTGTCCTCTTCTATGGTTTTGTGTGTGTCGTCGGCCTCGACCTTTTGCTCAGACTTGATCTGAATGTTGAGGTTGACCTTAACCTTCTTACTCTTGAAGTTGTAGTTCAATGTGAACGAGGTGGAGGGCTCGGGCTTAGCGCCCTCGGGGCTGGCGATGAGGACCTTGGCCTTCAACAGGATGCTAAGGTTGGGATCGAGAATTTCGGTAGACAGGGTGGTGGCCTTTTCGATCTCATCATAGGACAAAGTGTCGGCTTCGTTGAAAAGAAGAAGAATACCCATTTGGTAGGTAGACACCTGGAAGGTGTAGGGCACTTTGGCGTTCTTGATATAGTTAGCCTTGATTTCACCCTTGCATAGCTGCCACAGCCATGTCAGCTTGCGGCCACTGTGCTTGTCAAAGTAAAATGTCTGGAACCGTTCGGCAGTCTTGACTATCTCCGGTGGCGCGAGGAATGGTGTGGTCGGGGCATTGAGGGGCCAGAAGCCAGTTCCCAGGACCTGGAAGTGGGCATCGGCCATTCTCTTTCGGTCATCATCTTCTAGCACTTTGTCCTGCCAGACCTTGTAGTTGTTATTAAGATCCTTGGAGATCTGCATGTCCTGGAACATGCGTTGCAGCTTGTTGGTATATTCGAAACCACACGCCTCCTTTAGCTTGCTGATCATGCTTGTTTCAGCATCATCGGAAACAGAGCTCACATGAACCAGGCGTTTCGCCAGATTCTTGGAATAGAACTTCTGGAAGACGTCTTTGTCTTCAATGTACTTGAAAACTGTCATTATTTGCACGAGCATCTCCTCAAGCTCCGATTCTTCAGCCGACTTGGATCCCTTCTTGAGCAGTGAGTCCGTGTATTTTGCCAGCAGCTCGGGGGACTTTGAAGAGCTCGTCTTGCAGATGCGGTTTCGGTTGACAAATTCTCGGCACGCGTTATCGAGAGAACGCACAAACTCGGCCTCGCCATTGAAGGCCTCGTCAACCAAGTTCTGGTACCGTGTGTGAACCTGCAGTAGAGCATCGACGTACAACTTGGGCTCGAGTGTTTCTCCCTCCGAAGCGACCTTCTCGACAGCAGCCAGACCGGCCCGTCTAACGTGGTTCTCAAAGGTCGTGCGCAGAGGATCCAAACCTTCCTTGATACGTGATAAGAGGCGATACATGCGAGCAAGATCCTCCTGGCGTTCGTTATCTAGCAAGACTTGGAACTCGTCGCGAAGCAAAGTCGAATGGGCGGTAACGAGAACAGACAGACAGGTATCGGTCAAGCTCTTGGTGACATCTGTATGCAAATACAAACCGACGCGCCCCTTCTCCTCCTCCAGACGAGTTTCTGCCTTCTTCATATATTCCACCACGCTGTTTTCAGCCACGAACTGCCGTGACTCATTTTCGTAATACGTTTTCGTGGCACGGATGAACGGCAGCTGGAAGTACTGGCGATAGACATCAAGTGTTGACTTGGAGCTATCATTCTCATCCAGACCCAGTGATACAAAGGAGTCCACAATGGATTTAATCTGCGACTGTTCGATGGTTTCTCCGTTTCGTTGCTTCTCGACCAGATTCAGAACAGCGTCCATGACCTTCTCGTGGACTTTTTCGAAAAAGTCCCCTTTCCATTTGACCAAGTGCAGGGTGTAAACGTCATAGACATTTTTCTTACCCTCGTCGATCTCACGCTTAACCCAGTGACGGTTCAGGTAGCGAAAGAGGTGGTTCACGTACTTGGCGGCGGTCGTGTAGCGGTACCATTCGCGAATGTAGAAGCCAAGCAAGCCTTCTTCGGTGTGGCTTTGTGATTGTTTGTAAACCTTAGTCAGATGGGCAGAGAGGTATTCGCCGAGTAGTTTGTAAAGTTCCTCGCCCAGCAAATGAGCTTGAGTCCATGTCAGCTCAAATTGGGAAGCCGAGGGTGCGGCAAGAAGGACATTAAACCAACCTCCGCGTTGTCCTTGGAGACCTTGACCGCTAGCGACGGCTTTCTGGGATGTGCAAAAATTATGGACAGCCCTAACATCAAATTGTGAGCGCGGTTTTCGTCAGAGGTAGGATCGAATCTTAAAACACACGTGTAGAGACCCATGTACTAGGGGGAAAAAAAACCAGTCAGCCTCTGTTCTTAGACACTCTCGCCGGTCAATCTTGAGTTGCACGGCAATTCACTTACAGTCTTCATATCGATACCGGAATCAAGGTTGAGCATGACGCTCTCAATTCCTGTTTCGAGGAATGACCAACTAATTCACAATTAGCTCCGGTCATACCACCTTATTAAAGCAGGTCGCCAATTATTGCCTGCTCACGTTGAATCAAGGTCATCCTTGTGAGGTACCGGCGGCATCGAGAGAGACATCGCGGTTGCAGAGGAGCCGGGAGGTATGGAGAAGAAAGTGATTGTTCAAGGGCCGAAGGTCCTAGTCCACTAGTCAGTAACGCACTCGTAGTTCTCAACAGTAACCAGCAAGTTACACATCATGCACTTTACCTCAAAACGGTTGTAGCGCCACAAGGCACGCCTCAAAAGATCTTCGGGTGATCAACTGATGGTAGGCTCTTGGGAGAGGGAGAGGTTGGCAAGAGCGGGGTTCAGACAGTCGAAGAAAACGAGCGAGAAGATACGACCCTCCTTGGGAACCACTACAACGAAAATTGAAAAGGAGATTAGGCAGACGAGCAGAGAAGTGATAAGGCTGAGATGGACCAGAGCGTGGGGATGGCCTTGTTACCGCAGGCGGTGAGGTGGCGGAGCTTTCCCGCCAAATCTACATCATCGGTTTTGATCGCTTTGATCAAAGTGAGTCTAGACACCCTGGTTGTGTCGATAGTTATTTCTTTCGCAAAAAGTGTTTGAGAATAACAAGAAATCCAATTCTCTTTGACTTTTGGTCCTCTACAACAAATCTGTCTCTATTGTGGTATCCCAACACATGTCTCCAGTGACACAATTCATAGATCTATGTTTCGAACTGGCACTACAGACAAGAATAGTCGGCCGGTTATGCGGCCATGTGATATCTTTTTTGGTTGTACCTTTCTATGCACATTATAGGACTTTACGTAACAATCCCTTCTAGAAATGTAGCAAAATTGAGTATTCACCGTGCATTTTGCCATCTCAAATCCTTGGGATCAGATGGGAAATGATGAGCTACAATCTTCAACAATCCAGATCCAGTTCAGTCCACCTTGTCGTGTACAAAGCACATGACGACATTACCATATCCTGAGACCAACACATTTAAGTGTACTTTTCTTGGGTCGTCAAAAAGTCAAGAAATCCATTGTCTTAACGAGCTTCGTAGAGAAAAATAGCAACGAGATGAATGAACTTGGAATAGATATCAAAGCTTATGCATAGAAATATCCTCTGCATAGTTTATGCAGTTTGCCGCCTTCACATACATAGGACCAGCTGAAAAACATCCCAAGGCTGTCTAAATGGCTGTGTATTCTTGCGAGGGGGATGGATTACAAGAATTTACCGATGTACCGTTAGTCATTGGAAATGGACACACATGTAGGTAACCCATCTCCTCTTTTCTCCATTTTCTCATGAATGTCATTCCTCTTGAACATTCCATCTTGAAATTGCAATACCGATGAACTGCTGCTTTTCAAGTGGAACATCGGTCTCTCTTGGATTTTGAGAGATTTGAAAATATAGTCAGTAGAGTACTGCAAATGGATATTGGAAGCCGGTAATTTTTATCGCCAGTCTTGTCGACCACGGTTGATTAGGTCCCATGGGGACGTTGAACATTGGAGTTTCATTCCCAGGAATGAATTTTGATTTCGGGCGAAGATTTTGGCGACACCCTAAGGAGGCTGAATGAGGCCCCAGCCACAATCTGGCTGCTTCATGTTTCATTTGCCGAAGTCAACGTTGTTGTCGATGGAGTAGCTCAAGAAATTAGAAAGAAAAAAAGGGTTCAGAAGAGGCTTGGAAAAGGCCCAGAAAGAGATCACTACCCAAGAGTGGATGATATAGGACAGTGGATAGAAGGGATTGAACTGTTGAACGGTAGGCGCTTCCAAAAGGTAATACTCAGTGAGCACCTGGATGGGTACAAAATGGGAGAGGGAGACCCAGGTAGCCTCGACCTTGACTGCCCCACTAGAAATGACGTCACATGAAGTAGATCACAGAGTTATCCAAACTTGATCCCCGTGCTTCAGCAAAACGTTCAAAGCAAAAGAGAGAACGCCTTGCAATGGCCATAAATCCACTGTCAAAAACTCAAGTGACTACTCGTCAGAGTCCTGAGTGGCACCGTATTCCGAACACTTCAATCCAATCCAAGCCGCTCATGACATACCATGGAGCCTTCAATGCCACATCCACAGAGCTCAAGGAGCACCTGGAGGCAGTAGGCGAGGTTGTTCCTCAATGGAGATATAGCATGTACAGCCAAAATCACTTCCACTCCACAACCCAAGAGATGCTCGGGGTCGTTTCAGGGACCGCGCGTCTCTGCGTTGGAGGCGAGGAGAACCCCAAGAGATTTGAGCCGACGGTGCAGCGCGGTGATTTGATCATCATGCCTACCAGGGTGAGTCATCAACTCTTAGAGGACCTGCATGGGGATCAGGCAGAGTTTGAAATGGTCGGCGCATATCCACATGGAAAACAGTGGGATTTGTGTTATGGGACGCCAGAAGAGAAGGTACAGGCGCAGAGAATCAAGGATGTGGTTTGTTTCCGCCAAGGTCCGTTTTATGGCGCTGACGGTTCTGCTCTGTACGTCTAGCCAAACTTGCGCTTGCGTGAAATCAAGTCTCGCTTAAAGGGTATATCAACGGCCAAAAGATTCATGAAACATAACAACAATTGGATATCACTGTGTTACTCTTTCGACAAGCCTGGTAAAGCGTCAGGAACTGGAGTAAGTATGTCAATCATTCAACAGGGGGCTTACCTGAGAACACTAATGGAGAAGGTCATGAGCCAAGCCAAGAGTGCAACTAGCAGTACGGAAGCAAGCGCCTTTTGTCGCGTACATATACCATCGTTCCGAGGATCGATCGTTTGGTTGACCTCTGCTTCGGTGCAGGATCCTGTCACCTCGGAGAGTGAAGCGAATGCCAAGCTAAGATTGGCGGAATCGAAGACAATGAAGAAGATATCCAGAAGGAGGAGACGAACTTTAGCGGAGGGAGAGCGCAAACCCAATGGCTTTGATGTGTATTCATCGAAGGTGATGTACAGGAGGTAAACCAGGGCGACCGCATCAACGATGATTGCCATCAATGCAGATGGACCTTGAGGATGATGTCCTTCATCAGACATGTGCTGAATCGATCCGCCCAGAGCCAGTGCAGAGAGAGAGAAGCACCAAACAGTCATTCGAAGAATTAGCGGTACGATCGGGCTTCGCAGAAGCGTTTTCTTGAACCGATTGATCCACACGTCCCTTCGGCCTCCGCTGTGTAGCGGATACTCCGGACTATCGCCCTCTAAGAGCTTTCCTCGCCATGGTTGCGAATAATCGCCGTGATTCTCATTCAACCATTCTGATGTGACCTGCTGTTCTTCTCTACCAGGCTCTCGGGGGTATTGGATGGTTCGTGAGAATGTCACCCAGCGCGATTCACGGTTGACGGAGAGGGAGTCATTTTCCAATAGGCTGTTAGTGGTCGCATGATTAGGTTGCGACTTCGACGGTGAGTAGGGCGAGTGGTTGTGCTGAGCGACACATGCGCCATTTGGTTGGGAAGGGAGTAAACGATCAGTTGCCGCAGCTTCATTTCCGTCCTCCTCGGTTTCATCAACCGACCGAATCCAGGCTAGGAAGACCTCGCTATTAGTGGGTGATCTTCGAATTGAGCTTTAAATAGGTCCATACCGGGTAGAGATCGTAAAGCGAAGCGTTGGGAGTATGCGATCTCTTCCGCTGTCTGACCGGCTGTACGCGCAAGCGCTGGATCGGAGGTTGGACTGCGAACAGTAGACTCTGTTTCGCCGCTAAGCGGGCCCGGCAGCGGCGATGACTCTGGGATGGGCGGAAACTTCTCTACCAGCCTCTCACCAAAGATTCGCCCTGGAGCGCTGTCTTGGGGGCTGTCCATGATACAGGGGAGAGGTTGAAACCTGGACCCCGGGAGCCGCGGGAAACTTCAATTAACGGTTTGCCCGCGAATCCCCAACTCCTGTTTAAGTAGGAAAAGTGGTTGTTCAGGGATGACCTCTCTGACCTTTCTAAGATGAAAGTGTACGCCGACCTCGGGAATGACGTCTCGATTCATGTAGCGCGTGGACCTGGTTTGTTCCCGCATCCCTTTTTCATCCACCCGAGAAAAAAAAAGTCAAAAGGTTTCAGTGGACGATTTGTTGTGAAAGGATTCTTTCTATTTTATATCTTATATTGATCCATTTGATATCTATTAATTATCTTAATTATCTTCCCCGCGATCAGGTGATTATCAATTGTTGATTGTCTTACGACAGCCTCCACTATGCGCCTTTTCCTAATTCCCATTTCGACGAAACGAGTACTCGTATATGCTCGACCTCTTAACAAGGATTTAGCAAAAGAGCTTTCAATTCTTGATAGGATTACAACAAAGGCGGCGGAAACATGGGCGAAGTGGGAGGAAGCCGATAAAGGATGGAAGATGCACCTTGTTAGCTGGGGCAATCGAGTTCAGCAACGGATACCATACGAAGAATGGGCCCTCAAAAGTATTCCTTCATTCAAAACTCAGCTGCGGATTAATGGAGATCATGGAAAGACCAAGGTCGATGTGCTGTTTCCCGGTAACGCGGTGCGATTGGAGCGAATTCAGCAAGTGGTGCGCACGATTGCCACAGAGAGGCAGGAGCTTCATCGGAAGAAGATGATGTGGAGCTTGATTGCTGCACCGATTACAGCACCTTTGGGATTGATACCAGTGTATGTGAATGCCACGAGTCTTTCCTAGTGATGTGGACATTCTAACACAGAGCAGGGTTCCGAATATTCCCTTTTTTTATTTGGCATATCGGGGCTGGTCCCACTGGCGCGGTTGGTTTGATCTGCTACACGGAGATGGGGTCATGAAACTGACGATAATTCACAGCGTTGAATGGCTCAAGACATCTAGAATTCCTCGTTGAAAAGAATCTCCTCAACCCCATCTCATTACCAGAGCTAGAACGGTTATTTGCCAAACGTGCATCTCAAAAACTTGAAGCTACTACGACCGACACATCATATTCCGAGGTTGCCGAGGACATAGAGGAGGGTGAGGATCGGGTCCTGTTGCAGATGTCTGATGCCAAGAAGTTGGCTACGATCTTGGAAGCACCGGAGCTTGTGTTGGAAGCTGAACGAGCGATAATTCAAGTCAATCAGCAGCTCGAGGCTGCAGCGAAGGCCAAGCAAAATAAGAAAAACGAGAAGAATGATTCATGACGCCGATGATTAAATCACCGTGTTCTGGGAAAAGGAGACATTGAGCTCTTCTACTCAACAATGAGGGGGGGGGGTCATGTAAGATAATGCAAGGAACATATCAAAATTCAGCAGATAGCCATGTTATAGACGATAATTAGAACGAACAAATGAACATGAATACTTTGCTCCAGACAGAAAGGATCATTACAATGTGAGCCCAATGACCTCAGAGCCCCTGACGGAAGTAGGTAAATCCGAGTCTCTCCCCCCATTGTTCCCGCCTCATCCTCTTCACCATTCATCGGAGTTCCAGACATCATGGCTGTTAAAAAGATTGAGCAATGGGAGATTGAGCGATATTGGGAGATCTTCACCTCACTATCAAATGGACAAAAGCACCTGAACAGCTCCCAAGCCGCCTCCGTGCTGAGGAACAGCCGGCTGCGCGATGACCAGCTCGAGAAGGTCTGGGACATTGCTGATGTCGACGGAGACGGAGAGCTGGATTTCGAGGAGTTCTGTGTTGCGATGCGCTTGGTCTTTGACCTGGTCAACGGCGTAAGTGCCCACTGTCTCGAACCATTACCAAATCGCGCTAACACAACGTCTTATCTGTACACAGGAACTACAAGATGTCCCGAACGTCCTGCCAGATTGGCTAGTTCCAGAGTCCAAGTCACATCTCGTACAGGCAACCCGTGTACTGAGCAGTGGACAGGAACAATTTGAGCGGATAGAGTACGAGGACGACTCGCTCGGTCTGAAGGACGGCTTTGATTGGTATATGAAGCCCGACGACAAGAACAAGTACACCGAGATCTACGACGCCAACCGGAATGCGCGCGGCCAAGTCGAATGTGAGTAACCTATGCAGTGCGCTGTGCGCGCCCAGAAAAACACCCCGCTGACCACCTCCCAGTCCAACAGTTACAACCCCTCTACGAATCGCTCGACGTGCCCGACACCGATGTCCGCTCTGCCTGGAACCTGGTCAATCCCTCTGCATCAACTGCAATCAACAAAGATGCAACACTCGCCTTCCTGCACATCCTGAACTTCCGCCACGAAGGGTTCCGCATCCCACGCACCATCCCCGCATCGCTGCGCGCCTCCTTCGAACACAACCAGATCGACTACCAAGTCGACAAGGCGCGACCTGCACAGCGCTACGGTGCCGACGGCGATACGGAAACACGGACAGGCCGCAAGGCCAAGTTTGGTGATACGTACCTCGGTCGTCTGGGCGTTGGCGGCAAGGGCTCGTACCAGCCCAAGGGAACGGATTTCAGCGATACGATCCAGGACGAGGAGTGGGAGAAGGTGCGCTTGCGCCGCGAGCTCGCCGAGTTGGAGAAGAAGCTGGAGTCCACCACTAAAGCCTCCGAGACCAGGCGGGATGGGCCGCGCAATGATGGCCGACCCAACTGGGTTTTGATTAAGAAAGAGGCACTTTCACTCTTGGAGTACAAGGAGCGGGAACTGCGAGAGTTGCGTGAAGGTACTGGCCGTGCGAAGGACGGTCAGGATTTAGAGCGACTCCGGGAAGATGTCAAGGCTGTTGGGGACCAGGTGGACGGCCTGAAGAACCATTTGGCCCAACGGCATGGTGTTCTTTCGGACCTCCGCAGCCAGATTGAAGACGAGAAAGCTCGGCGGTGATTGCTTACTGTGTGAGCATGGACTAGCGGACCCGTTGGCCTATGCTTTTTGTTTTCTTTTTTCTTTTTTTTTTTCTTTTCCACGGCCCCTTTCGCTGCATATATGTCCCATCTCCTTGATTCTCGCGACTATCATGCACAGCCATCTTCTTGTTAGGGTGCTTCAGGCGTCCAATGGATATTCTTCGCATTTTTTTTTACTTCTGGCTTGTGCAAGAAATGTTGAATTAATTTAATATGATACAATAGTGAGACCTCACGGCTCTATCTACCTTGCAAGTTGACCTCGGCGTGATTCTCTTCTCTATAGTGTAGACTTTGAATCCTGATCTTAATCTTTGGTTGGCCTTGACAAGGATGTGATCCATTACGACGAGTAGGGCCATAATAGTGATAGATGGGTTGATCGAGCTCTCTTTTAATCAATCAGAGTTTTTTCACGTTCTCCAGTTCCTTGCAAAAAATCCATCGCGAGTCCATTCGCAGGTTCTGGGTCGACCAGTCGTTCACACGGTCAGGTCATATCGGGAGACGCTCACTCAGTGAGTCGTCATGCCTAAGAAGAACCAACACACAGCCGGTAGTATCTAGCTCCTGGATCTTGGAGACAGTTGTTATGGCCACCTCGTGCTATCTTGCTATCTTCATCTAGCATTGATCCCACGTCCCTGCTGGACGAGGATACTGTAGTGGTGGCCTTGGTAAACTGCACGATCTTGAGGGGAAGAGCTTCCCCGTCGATGCACACACCGAGGTCGAAGACCATGTGGCGATCACCATGTAGGACGAGGAAGCATTGTGATGGGAAGTGAGGTTCCTCAAAGCCTGGCAACTCTTGCTCCTAGAAAACTCCCGGCCTGGCTTTCTTATGTCTAGGAACAGACGTGTATGCTAATTCAGGTGCCAGCAGGTTAGAGGGCTATGACTGATTTGGCCACTTTCCTCGGGTCCCCAACGATTTTCTATACATCTGCTGGAGGAGAGAACTTCCAGAAGGCGCTACGATCACATCATACATCGTCTTTGTACAAGTATAATGGATTTTAATTGATTCAATCTCTTCTTTCCAAATCTCATGCCCGCCTGTTTGCATACCCACAGTCCCTGTCCTCTGTGCGACACATCATCAGGCCCCTGGTAGTGGTCTCTCATAGAGAGGTCGGCTTCCGAGCGTTGGGGAATTTCATAGCATTGGTCCGCCCAATCAGGGACGATGAACCAGTAACATTCGGGTTTGCCGAGATGAAGTTGTGCGGGAAGCCGGGGTTGAAGGGCTTGACGCTCTCAAGATGCTCAATTTGCTCCTGGGTCAGCTTGAGGCTCAGGGCCTGGATGTTTTCCGTAAGGTGCTCGACCTTGCGACCGCCGATCAGAGGGAACACATTGCCGGCCTTGGACATGACGTAGGCTAGCGCGATGGCGGTGACTGAATCAATGCCATGCTCTGATGCCACCTGCGCCAGAGCTTCACTGGCTTTGATCTCTTCTTCGGTCTGGTGGGCAGGTCGGCCGGCAAAGGCACGCAGCCCTTCTCCAGCAGCCTTCCGGCGCTCGAGCTCGGCCTTGGACTGAAATTTGCCTCCACCAAGGGCATCCCAGCTATTTGGGACACATCTTAGCCATCGGTTGTTGGAATCACAGGGGAACTGAGACACTCACGGTGCAAGAGCCATGCCGAATTCCCGGGCCATAGGGATGATGTCGCGCTCGAAATCACGGTTAAGAATATTCCAACGTCCCTGGTAGATGCTAAAGGGAGTTTTCCCGTGGTCGAGAGCGTAGGTGTTCGCGGCAGCCACAATCCAGGCCGGGGTGTCCGATGCTCCTAGGTATAGAACCTTGCCTTGTTCGACGAGGATGTGGAGGGCATCCATGACCTCCTTGATCGAGGTGGTAAAGTCCCAGTAGTGAACATAGTAGATGTCTGAAGGCGGTGACACGAGTCAGATCTGGGGGAGCTCACAGGTCGGCGATACCAGGAAGTTGGAGACTCACCAATATAGTCGGTACGTAGCTTCTTGAGCGAATCGCGCACACTAACACGAATACTGCGGCGTGAGTTACCCGCAAAGTTAGCCGCCTGGGGGCCCTTGCCAATAGCATGGCTACGGTAGTCCAAGCTAAACTTGGTGGCTAGCACCAGCAAGTCACGGTTTTGGCGCGCCTCAACCCATTCACCAATCCATTGTTCCGACTGTTCATTCTGATAGACATTGGCAGTATCAATGAAGTTTCCACCGGCCTCGCAGTATGCATCTAGAAGCTGGAATGCGGACTCCTTGTTCATGGAGCCCATCATACCAGCCCAGGCCTCGCCAATCGACATGGCACCCAGCTGTAGAGGAGAGACACGCACACCGGCGGTGGACGAGAGGACGCGCAGGCGTCCAAGCTCGGTGGGGGGAACCGGTTCTGCCATGGTGAAGTCGATTTTGGATGATGATGTTCAAAGATGTGGTGTTTTTGTTTGATGCAGTGCTGAGATCGGGGTTGATGTGCTTAGATCGCAGCATGAACTTCAATTCATCTTTATACCTGAATTTGAACAACGACACCCCTCCAAGCTGTGCTAGCTGCACCGCTAGCTGACCTCCGATGTAGCCTCATAGATAGAGAGACCTCTTCAATCACTGGTGGAGAAGGATACGGCCTCGGACGGAGTTAAGACGATCTCTGACAGATCCTGTTCTGGGGGTGGGGGCCGGGTGGGGAGGCAAACGACGCCATGCTATTCCTATTCCGGGGCAATGATGCATCCTGTTGTAAAAATGTGTGGTCAGTTTCACGGGGCCACTGTCTCATACGTCTCTACATCCCTGCGGGTTCTGTAATACAGCCCCACTATAGCTGCAGTAGCAACTCTGATGAGGGGATTTTGTCAACGGAGTTAGACAGTTGGGAGCTTCGTGAGATGCCGTGATCTTCCGAAAGCCCTATCAGTGAGGCAAAATGGAAATCCTGACTAAGAATCTTGACATTTGTGCCACAGCAGGTCAAAACATGCTTCCAGCAGGCGGACTTAACGGACATATCCTTGGGGGCGTTCATGATGGAGAGCAAATTTTTTTGAAAGCACACGAAATGAGTCACTTTCCAATGCATGCTCGGGGTGTATCTCATATACTGAGTAGAGATTACACATATCTTGTGTCTTTTCTCTGATTGATTCCAAGTGCTCAACTTTTCAATTTTTCCAATTTCTAATCACGGGATTAGCGTAGACAGTAGTTCCCTACGTAGATTGAGGGACCCATCTTGGAGAATTCTAGATGCTGAGATGAACCTGATGGTAAATGGAGGTTCCAAGTACAACATACAACATAAAAAACATAGAAAGTGCCATGTCTGTTCCGTACGGAGCAGGTCACGAGTCTGAACACCGCCTTTGGCCCCACCTACAGACCGCCTTTCCAGCCTACACCGCCTTGCAATCCGCGCAATAAACCACTTCTCCCGATGTTGTACAACATCATGCTGCCCTCATAGGTCTGGGGTAGTAGTGGGGATATTTAAGAGAGGCGTGTCAGGACACAGAAAGGATACAAGAGCTATATGGGAGGCAAACAGATGACCAGAGAACTGGTTAGTTCCACCCTACAAGGAATGATTAAGGATCAATTAATGAGGTACGAAGTAACGAGAAAAATTCGGTATTGCTATGGCGGATTAAAGGATGCATAGGTTTAGTTCCTCAATAGGCATCGGTTCTCTTCACGTTTGTTCAAACCGGGGTTTACTGTCCCTGAATCTTGTACAATCCCCAGCCTCTACCTTGCTCCCTTGGCTACTCGATTCATTTATGGTCACGCGATTCGTTGGTGCCACTTGATGTGAGATGCAGCTTATCTCTTTCCCATTCAATTTGAATTCCCTTGGTATAGGTTTTCAAGTTTCATTGACATCAGCACCCTGCTCGAGGAGGAACTTCACGGGGGTCACATATTCGTTCTAGGTGGCAAGTGTGAGTTAGGAGCAGTGACAAGGGCTCCTGTATACTTGCAGGGTGAGTAGATGCGCTCAACGGTCCTATTAATACTTCTCTCCCAATAAGGGTTCCCTTCTCGGTCTCAAAGGAGACAAGAGCACTAACGTAAAAAAGGGAGGCGTATTTACAGATGTCGTCATTGCACTCTGCGACACGAGCTTCGTGGTATCTTCCTTTTTTTCTTCCTTTTGTTTTTGATATCGTTCGAGACTAGCTGGTCACTGGCTCAACTTTGGAATGACCCGATACCCTCTCGCGGACGAAATATCTGACCCCATGGACAACATCATCATCTTGGCTTGCGACGAGTAGGGCTATGAGTTGCTTCTTGCCCTAGTACTTCAAAATCATCGTTATCATTAACCGAGGCCTAATCCATAAAGAGTTCAGACAAGTGACAAAAGAAAAAGATTTCTAAACCTGCGCTAAAAATAATCCCTAAACTAAACCCGAGTCTAAATGAGTGAGCCCGACGCAAACTTGGCGAGTTCAAGCCCGCTCTGTGCAGAATCCTCATAGAAAAAAGAACGAACCGCAAAGAGTGGACGATAAGACTTGAGTCTGTCCAAATATGCCTCTGTGTCCGCGATGGCTGCCCGGGGTAGTGTTGTCGGACGTTGATTCAACCGGCCGCTTTAACCACTTCACATCTTCCAAGTCAATCACGATTAGACAGCCCACTTCATCATCCCATAGCATGTTACGCCACTCACTGTTGCCATGGACAGCACCTTGTAATCGAAGGGTTTTCAAACCCCTCTCACGCTCTCGGTGGAACAAATCAGAATTTTGTGGGTTGATAATATTTTGAATCCGGGTCCCCGACCAACTGAGAATCATCATATACGCCATGGGCTGGCCATGGTACCAATAGGTGATGCGGGGCTCAAAGTCTCCAAGACAGACAGGGATTGGAGGCCCCTGCAAATTTCTGAGGCGGCGATAGGTATCGACTTCACGGCGAAGATTTTGTTCCTTCTGCGCCGTTGTAGCTTTTATAACGACAGTGTACCCCCCGTGGGACAATAAAGTTGCTTTCAGAAGATACCCAGATCGGCCACAGATGTGCAGTGTTTCAAAGCCATCATTCCTGCTTCGCCGAAGTTGACTATGCAGCCTGCGCGTAAACTCCCGTGGACTGATGAGATGCCTTTCAGTGCCGTACTCGTGGAAATTCGGACAGTTTCTGTCCAAAGGTCCCCCGTTAACTATGCCGCGGATGCATGCCATGGTACATTACGGCCTCATGATCCCCGTTGACCCCGTCTTCTGTGAGCTAGAGGAACCACCATTCTTGGTTTCTGCTTGTCCTATTCCCCGTCGACTGGCGGGAGTTTGTTTTTCATTTCCGCCACGGCCTCTTGGTTTGCGCACGGCTGCCATGGTTGATGGCGACGGCAAGTCCTCTTCGCTACCACTGGCCCCACTTGACGGTTCCTCTGGCGGCGTTGACTGGCCTGGTTTGCAGCGACTTCGCGTATTGTATGACTTTTGGAATGACGATCGATACACGAAGGATGGCGGCTCTTTGCGGATTGTCTCTGGAATGTCCCGTAGCACGTCTAAGTACTCAACCTTCCAGATGGAGAGCTCTTCGTTTGCTACGTCATGCCATTCTTGTGATGGGGGTTCAGCAGCTAGCGCTTGGAGTGTAAATGCAAGCACCTGGCCCACGGATGTCCGGTGCAGGCGATATTCATCGTGCTCCTGAACGTCTTGATTCGGCACACAGAGGTGGTATTGAACGGTGGTGGGATCCTCTGGGATATGGAGAAATACGAAAGCCTCTCCAGTACAGATGTACCCGTACCGAACACTGCTATCGATCATGTATGAAAAGATCTGAGTGACTACGGCGGTGACAAGATGGGTAGCGTGAAATTCAAAGGTGTCGCCGTTTTGGCCAATAATATCACGAGCCGGTTCGATCGCGTGTAAACCGGCAACCAATTCTGGAACAGTGAGCTTATGAGACGCTTTGAATTCTACTGCGTACGCGGCCACCTGGCATCCATCTTCAACAACGTGAACACAGAAATGATCGGCGCGGCGATTTCGTCGTCGTAGAGGACGAGTTTTCTGCTGGCTGTTGCCTCCCTTGTCCTCCGACCAGCAACTTGTTGGGTAACAAAAGCATCGTCAACATGCAATTGCTCTTCGCTCTCTTCTAGAGAAGTGTCCATGGATTCCACTGGGCGGTCATGGAAAGCCACTCGCCCGTGGAGACAAAATTCTTGTCGCAGAAATGCATCACCCCTCATAGTCTCGATGATTGTTTCGACAAAGCTGTCCAACACATATTCAAACATCCGTAAATGTATATTGGCTTATTTTGAGTCCTTCCAGCAACATAATCCAACTGAGTGTTTGAAGGAAAAACATGGTGTGCAGTGAAGGCGGATGCGCTGTCGAGCTTCTTCCATATATTCTCCTGGAGTGCAGGAAAATCGAGCCAAGGGAGAATGCGCGTTGGATATAATCAGTTAACTGGGTCCGTCGTACTTCCTTGGGTTGTTAGTGCCGCGTTTGTTTCAACCTGAAACGACCGAGAGAGAGACTTGTGGCAGCGATCAAGGAGTCCAATGGAAGAGGGAAAGTTAGGCCGCAGACAAAGTGGCACGCATTTGGCAGCTCACAGACGAAGGGGGTCCCCCTGGCCTAGGGTCCGTATTTTTTGAAAATTTTTTTTTTCAGGGGCCGGTTAGCCTCATGTGAAGCCCAATCATCTCATTGCTTGTCAGGACGTATGGTTTCGTCAATGTGTACTATATTAGCCCAGACGCAGGTGTCTGTTGGTACAATAGCAAACATGTATCATAGTCTAGGAATCTACCAGACTATGAAACGCAAAGTGTAGCAGTTGATACACGAACAAGTCACCCATCCTGTGTGCCAACGCCAAGAAAACCAGCCAACCATTAATGTTGTTACAGTCCAGTGACCACCGGAAATAATTCAGCGTGTAGCTTGGATGGGAAAGGGGGGACGGGGGAACAAAAACAAAATTAACAGCCATAAAAATCTCAGGAGAGAATGCTCTCGCCAGCATCGCGCTTCGTTTCAACTGCAACAAACGCAGCTCCTTGCGTATCCAACCCCTTCTCAGCACGCAGATAGGCCTCCTCAGAGCGATCGGTCAAGATGTCAAGATCTTCATTGGACAAGATCGACGCAGGGTCAACGCCAACCTCGAACCGCTCGAACTCGTTCTCGCCAAGAGCCTTGCGCAATTCGTCGATATCTTGAGAGTTCGCACTAGGGTCGAGCAAAGAGCGAAATTTGCCCTTCTGTATCACCAGACGTTCGAGTCGACGTTTGGAATCCGCTTTCTCAAGAAGTGTTTGTTCAACGGTACCCTTCGTGGCCAATCTGTAGATGATCACTGGCTTGGTCTGGCCAATGCGGTGGGCTCGGTCCTGAGCCTGCAGATCCTGCTGGGGATTCCAGTCAGAATCAAAGATGATGACAGTGTCAGCCGCGGTGAGGTTGATTCCTTGACCCCCAGCTCGGGTGCTCAAGAGGAAGAGCTTGTGATTCTTCTTGGTATTAAAGTTTTTAATCTGAGCTTGGCGCTCTGACTGTGCAATAGCGCCATCGATTCGGCAACATTCCCAGGAGCGAAGTGTCGTTATCCACTCTTCGATGATGTCCAGTTGAGTTTTGAACTGGGAGAAAATCAAAATTTTATGGCCCTTCTCAAGTAAACAGGAGACCAAGCGGTCTAACAACAGCATCTTTCCAGACGCAGAGACGAGACTTTCGTCGACGGATGAGGACTCGTCCACCCAAGGCCAGTAAAAATTGTGCGGAGAGTTGCAGGCAAGGCGGGCCTGTAAGACTGGGTTTTGCATTTTCTTTTGTCCAATCTCTTTTTCTGCAAGACAATGTTAGCAAAAAGACTAGGAAAGATGAATTTGAGGTGACGCACTGGCAAGCTTCAGATTCTCAGCCCGCTGCATCTCTTCAAGCTCAGTATCGCTAGGCTCGAGCTTCATTTCCTCTTCTTCGATTCCCAGCTCGAGTTTGCGGAGATGCTCGTCAAATTCTCCATCACTTAGATCATTGTAGCTTTGACGCGTAATTCGTCGGCGGCGGTTAGGATTATTTCCATTTATAGCCGGTGTAGATATCCCGCTAGATCTGGTGCTCTTGGCCGGCCTTGTCTCGTCATTGCCATGACGTTTGCGCTTCATGCTTTGTGATCGCGTCGAGCTGCCGCTCTTACTCTCCAGACGCTCCAGAGCCTTTCCTTCGAGATACTGGCGCCCTGTACCATTAATGATCTCCCGATAGAGGTCTTTTTGCTCGGGGGTTAGTGGAGCGTAGAGAATATACTCTCGCTTCTTGGGAAGATTGGTCTCCACATCTGTTTTGAGACGCCGCAGAAGAAAAGGTTTAAGGATAGCGTGCATGCTGGTGACTAGGTTACGCTTGCGCTTTTCAACAAGCCCCGCTTGGCCTTTGTTGTCAAGCACGGAAGAAAAATCGAACCAGCCCTCAAAGGAGTTGAGGTCGTTGAAAACTTCAGGGAGCAGGAAGTGTAAAAGTGACCACAACTCTGAGATGTTATTCTGGAGAGGCGTCCCAGTAATCAACAGACGGTTGGCTGAGTTGTAAGTCAAAAGCTCCTTGATGAGCTTGCAGTTCATGTTTTTCAAACGGTGGCCCTCATCCTATAGGTCGTTTAGCATCTTGGAAGTACAAAGGAGCTTGAGGAAACTTACAACAACGATATATCGCCATTGATATTGACCCAGAAACTTCCGGTCATTCATGCAAATCTCGTAGGACGTGCATATCACTGGGAAATCCATGTCTCCCTGGTCTTTCATTTTCATATGGTTTTTACGCAAGGCCGCCCGCTCATCCTTCGAGCCATGGTACAAAACCGATTTTATTTCCGGTGTCCACCGGGCGAATTCATCCACCCAATTGCTCACCGTGCTCAGTGGTGCGGCAATTAAGAAGGGCCCTGAGACGTTCTTTTCTTTCAGGAAGGCAATCATGGAGATGGCTTGAACAGTCTTTCCAAGGCCCATCTCATCAGCAAGGATGCCACAAAGCCCATTCATCCACAGGGTCTTGAGCCATTCGAGGCCCTCCAACTGGTATGTTCTCATTGTGCCGCCGCTCACAAGTTTTGGCTGCTGTGTTGCGACCAGGTCCTGTTCACCAAGAGCTTTGGGATTTGCTTTGTAGTCATCTGCAGCCTGCTCAAGGGCTTGCTGCACCGAGGAATTGTCCTCAGTCACTTCCACATCAGCCTTTTTGAAGTAACTGGAAATCGAGCTGCCATTAGCGACTGCCCGCTTAGGCCGACCTCTAGACGATCCTACAACCTTTTCGTCGGCGGCTGCGTCCTCCTCCATCGCATCTTGGTTTGGCCGAGTTCGAGTGGCTCGGCGACCAGGTTCCGGAGGCGCCTTTGTTTTCTTCTGGCTCGGAGCAGTCTGTTCACGGTGCTTGATCGCCGCCAAACGTGCATCCTCTTGTTGCTTTTTCATTTTCTCTGACATGATAGCGACAAAGACCTGCAGGTACGAGAGGACATCAGACCACTATAATCAGATAAGATGAGGATGGACTGGACACGTACCGAGCTGGTTTTCAACAAATGCATCAAGGCCTTGGCCTTAGTGTCCATCCCCTCGACATCTTCTGAATCGGTCAAATTTGCCTTGGAATCGTCATCTTCTTTGCCAAGAGACGACTTCGATTCATCGGCTTCAGTCGGGTCTGTGAGGGGCGATGAAGGAACAACCGACTCGGGCGCCATGGTACCCGCCCGGGAATCCGTGGGAGTAGATGTGCCTTCAGCAGACATTTTGCCTGGTGTAATTGAATAATTAGGCAAAGGCAGTGAATGATCTAAAGTGGGCACTAGATGGATGAAGATGGTACGTCATGCGCAAGGGAGAAGAAGTTTTCGCGACGTCAAGTTTCGCGGTGGACGAGGGGTAAACGAATGTAATACCAGAGACTGAGTTTACACGAGTTTCCGACAACTGGACACTCACCCTTCAGAGAAACTCTGCGCACAATTGGACGTTGGCTTCTGATGTATCTGAAATTGAAGTAAGAGCGCGTCCTCCGCGCGGCATTTTCGCGTTCAATGCACGGACCAGGTTTAAATTAGACGACCCTGCAACTATGGGGACTCGGAGTTGACTTCAACATCATTCAAGGCTATCATACATCAGGGTAATTACACGAAAAAAGAGAAACATGCAAAGAGCTCAAAATGAAGATGATGGTTTCATATCCTAGATTTTCTTGATTGTTCCCTCAATTATTTCTCGGTTGCATCCTTCTACTCCGAAGAGGAACAGCCATCTGTTGGCACCAGCATGACATCATCCATGGACATCTCAGTGATCGAGCTGATATCAGTGGAACTTGGTTGCTCATCAGGCTGTTCTTCCTCGGGTTTCTCGGGCTCGCTTTGTTCGGGAATCAAAATAGGCTCATAGCAGACAAATTCGTCCATGAGGCGGTCGACGTTCATCGCTGTCATTCCACGGTACGCCCGGGCGAGAATCCTCGAAGGGATGTTTTGTTCGACTGGCTGAGCCAAGGGAAGTGTTTGAAGATTTCCACGTGTGGGACTGATTCCAACACCGACACCATTAACTCGAAGGGTAGGCTGGTAGTTATATCGACGGCGCATCGCTTCTGCCTCGGCCTCTATCTTTTCAAGCTTGGCCTGCTGTATGCTTCGTTGGTACTTGAAATGGCTCTCTGATGGGTTGAATCCATCCGAAGACCGGTTTCCGGTGATGACTCTGCTGAAAGGTCTGGCAGGGTTCCGGAAAACGGGCTGGGCGACACTACCGCTCCGTGGCGGCTTGGACGGTGTTTCTTGCGGAACGTCTGACGGAGGTGACCCTGGCATGGCGGGCACCTGTCCATGAGAGGAAAATCCCTGGGGCCTAACACCAGCTTGCTCGTAGCGATTGATCTGCGCAGCGATGTCTGGGCCAACATTCACCTTGACTATTCCACCGAGTCGAGGCTTTGTGGTGTCCCACGATGAGTCCTGGTTCCGTTCATAATACCTTCCCCAGTCCATCATGAGGCCTGGGTCAGTGTTTCGTCGAACCAGATTGGTCGGGTTCATGGTACCGTTCATACCAATGCTTTGAATGAAATCCCTCTTGGCACTACTGATAGGGTCCATAAAAGGATTCATTGGGGTCTCAATCTCATTTGGAGGTGGACTGAATCTCAGGTTTTCTTTCCATTCGAACTTGTCGGGCTCATGGGAGTCGTCCTCGGATTCTCGAAGCACCACCAGGCTGTCTCCCCAATTTCCAGCATATCTTCGAGGCAGCCCGTGCTGATGCAAGTACTGTCTAGCCTTCAGGACCTCGTGGGCTTGGCACATCAAGAGGTCCGTGTAGCTGGTGAGCAACAAGTTCTGATTTGTCTCTCGAGTGATCCTTTTCAGCACCAGTTGAGGTGGCGGCTGGAAACGTTTCAAGTCGCTGTTGTCGATTTTCATGAGTACCTTGCGCTGTTTGCACCGCATTTGCTCCAATTTTCCGTTCTCTCGTTCGATCTGTTTATTGCGAATCCTTATACCCTGCATGAGCTGTTTTCGCTCATCTGGCCCAAGGCCGAGAAGGTCGCAAACACGTCTCCAGCTATGGTATTTCATTGTGTTTTCGACGATTTCAACCTGCATCGCCTTGTGCAGATCTCCCCATTTTGGGTTGGGGATCTTAAACGACGACTCACATTAGACTCGACTGATTTTACCAACACGGCGAAGGTCAAGGTATACTTACCGCATCAAGGAGCACCTGAGTCGCATCTGGCAGTGGGTCATCATCACTATCCGGAGAGGTGGCCATGTCCTCGTAACCCGGAGGGGCATCCACACAAGTCGTACGCGCCATGTTTACGTTCCTCGCATATATCGGATTGTCCATGTTGTTGCTGGCAACGTGGTTATCGAGCTGGTCCATCGGGACTCGTTCTATCACAGACGAAGACGGTGCAACGGTTTCCATCGACCCAACATTGCGGAGAGGAAGTGCCAGTTCGCTTGTCTGTATCTTATGTTGGCTGTCACCAATGCCGTGATTCTTTGTGGAGGTGGGGGACGCATGACTTGGCTGTGGTCTGCTCAAACTGGGAAACGCAGCTGGTGGCAGGTTGGGGTTGAATGGCACAGTGTTGGGCTTGCGCCTCTTTTGTGGACGTGGTCTGCCTGATTCCCCAAGCTCTATGGAGTCGTCAAAGGAGTCATCGTATCCGGGCCGTAGCGTGGTCCGTGATGGTGTTTCGTATTCGTCTTCTCCATATCGCAGCGGCGCGCGGATGCTGTCACGCAGTCTCATGCCGCTCATTTTGGCGGCGCGTTGAGGTGTGCGTGAGGCTTGAAAGGGAGGAGGGTTGATGCGCTCAATGGTTGGTATGGGTGTGTTGATCGTAGGTACGTGTTAAAGTTCAATGGGAAGCATGCGCTTCATCGTAGGGGCGCGATAGTCGATTATGGGGTTGTCGCAAATTGGAAATCTTGTCGCGCGAGATGAAGGAAGAGCGGAGAAGGTAGGATGGGGATGGCTTTGAAGTTGCGCAAAGGTCAACGCAAGACTCGATCACTTGGACTGAAAAGAAAATCACAAGGGGCAAGTTGAGTCAAGAGTTGACAAGGTGGGTTCAAACGCTGGGTCAGATGCTGAAGGGCATCAACCAACTTGTGCGCGTCTTGAGACCTGCCACGTTTTGATATTGATACCATCATTGACCTTGCTAAACAAAATTTACACACATGCCAAGCTGAAACTTTCCTACGTTTATGATCGATCTTATGGATTAAAGATGTAAAGGTTGTAATGGCCAACGGATGGCCTAGATGTCAGAAAGATAGCAGCAATAGGCAATTGAAGCTGGGTATTTGCATACAAGAACCATCAAGCACCAAAGCAGACAAAAAAAGAAAAACAAGAAAGAAACCAGGAAAGAAAAGCAGATAACCCCCCCATTCTACACAATGTAAAGATTCCCTTCATTCCCTGTCATCTTCGGACGTCTCTCTCCCCATCCCTATGACATGATAAATGTCACTCACAACCCAACCAAAAATACTCGCAACAATCGACTTCGGTTGGCTCTAGACCACGCGGTCTTGGAAGGGAGCATTCGGCTTTCGCGCATAGAAGGGGTCGTCATCCTCATCCATGTCCATTTCACCCTCCTCAAAGGCAACATCATCATTTCTATGATCTTGGAAACTTCGCTTCCTCGTGAGCATTTGCGGTGGGGATGGAGGCGCAAGGCTCGGAGCCCCACGAACAGTAATTCCTTTAGCACGTTCAACATCACGTTTAGCAGAAAGAATGGACTCGAAAGACGAGAGGACATATTTCAAGTTGTCCTCAATCGAGACACAGAAACGACGCTGTTGAATCATGTGGATGGCTTCGGCAGACTGGATATTGAGCATGACCATGATGTAGGCAATGACGACACTAGCGGAGCGTTCATTCCCAGACTCGCAGAAGACAAGGACTTTTCTTTTCTGTTGTTGGCCGTCAACCACCATTCCATCAAATCCCGCATCCACACCAGCTAGATGATCATTGATACGGCGGATAGCACGTGGAAATGCAGAAATGAGCTCTTGGTTGTCAAGAACATCAACAGTGTCGGCCATAATATTGACCTCGGCCGCCGCTTTTTCGCCCGAGACGAGGCGTGCCAGAGCCGAGTGCCGACTTCGAATCGCGAGTAGAAGTGTAAACCCTTGACTGCGGATGTAATCGGCATCACGTAGACATGATGAAGGGCCAAGAGATAAGAATGGAAGGATGGACTGGGCTTGGTGGCGCATGTCATAGTTCCATTGTGAAGGGTTGAAGCGGCGGGTGAACCCACCTAGATCGACGAGGTTGAAGAATCCTGGACAAACAAACTCTCCCTCTGCAAATTCATGGGAATCGTGGTTGAGATTTTTCTGGTCAACGATTACAGTGTCATCGTTGCCCGTGCTCGACAACCCGTGATAGGGTGCCCTGAGAGACCCACCTGAGGTTGGATATCGTGGCGTCACTGTGTACTCTTGTGCACGAACATAGTGAGACTGTTCATTGTGAGACATGGGCACCTCTCTCAGTAAATTTCCGTTAGACATTGTGCTTTACGGGAGCCTTCACAATGACACCCGTGAATCGTGTCAAGTTCTGATCTATTGATTGATTGGTGTGGAGATCAAATACGTTGTAACTTTTAAGCCAAAAAAAAAGCAGACGTATCAGTTCAATCGATGTCGCTCGGGGTCCAAGACAGTGGTAGTGGAAACGCTGGAAATGAATATGTCAAGTTGAATAAACCCGAGTAGAAACGCTGAAAGTCTTTCCAGGCGCACAGTGCAAGTGTAACAGACAATATTTGAGAAGGAGTTCAATCGTTTCAATGGAATAGCTTCAAGATGGTTGCAGATCCAACATCTCTATGGGGGGAGAGAGAGCTCAGGTCCACCCGTGGAGCTCTCCCGCGCGTTGAGATTAGGTAAGACGGTAGATTTCCACTGGGGCTTAACCTGCACTTCCAGGGTTCCTTATGCTCACGCTCTGTCATGGCTTTTGCTTCCAATTTGAAACTTCCAGTGGTCAGTTTTGCAAGCTACTGAGTCATAGGGGTCGATACAACCAAGAGGATGAAAAGTCTTCTATGGGTTGAAGTGCGAATAGCTTCGTGTTCTAGTCCGGACAAACATGACATGACGAGCTCGCTATCAACCTCTCAGCCACTTTCTATAGTCACGCCAATTGCTGCAAAGTGGACAGATGATGACAGATGATCCAATTGACTGAGATGGCCCGTAAATGAGCTGTGATAGCTCGTACACCGCTCTATCTGTCAAATCCTACGAACTACATAGTATATCGGAACTCGACCATAGCCCAATACTTTAGCACGGATCTAGCTTATTAAATGAGATCTTCTATTCCCATACTCAAATTGATGGACCACTATCATGGACATCGGGATGTTATATAGTTGAAAGAACCACGGTATTGTGTCTTGTCCTTTGAGCCTTCACTGATGTCAACTTCACATTTCTTCCATCTCCCATGTCATGGCTAAGAGATTATCTGAGCTCTGGACAGCGTTTAGACAATCTGATTGCTAGCAACGGTGCACTTAGGCAGATAATTATCCTTGAAACAACCAAGCACCTGCAAGACTTTACTCTCGTGCTGAATCCGTTTGTTCCCGTACAAATTCTAGCAGGATAGTACCGTGTATCACATAAATGGAAGCCCAATCATGAGTATCAGGGGGGAAATAAGCTTGGCCGGGGTCTAATGTCTGTGACAACCCAGACTTGCGAGCGAAGCCCCCTAATATAAGAACACACTCTCAGAGCTAGACAACGTATTCATAGGTCTTCTCACAAGTTGGTGAACGCCTTATCCAAGCTAATACTGCACGATAAGTATAGAGGAAAAGCTTCTACCGGGGAGTGTTCCTAGAAAGCGGGAGACATGATAGCTACGCCTTGAGAACTAAACCGGGTTCTCCCATCAGTAGAGACACTCTTCGCACTACTCGTGCTCTATAAACCTGACAATTTAAACACTGGGTTCGACTCCTTGCGTAGCCCAAAAACTCCTGAAATTCAGCGACAAGTACACAGGCTGGGAACCATGAGGTGATCTACACAGCAGACCACTCAAATTCAGTAGCATCAATCTGCCAATGAGCAACAAGGAACTAGACCTAACAACAAACTTACAAGGCCCAAAGTTCCACTTACTGATTTTCGATCTCTGAGGCGTAAAATACTCAATAAGCGTAGGCTCCTAGTACCCAGATGCCAAGACGCAGCAAGAGAAGTCGCATATTGGAGCGCGCGATGCCGCAGCTGATAGCAGTGAGATCTACACGTAGGCACAGAACTTTGCGAAAGCATTTCCCGACTCTAGGGGGGATGATGCGCCGTGCATCAACACACCGCAGACCGCAGCGGATACGCAGAGATAACATACGGGGGCTTGGCTCTTCACCGAATGGTCGAAGCGCGTGATTACAGACGGAGTCGTGAACCAGTTCGAATAGTACGAGAGCGCATGTATCTAAGCCGCTCATCAACTGGGAGAATGTGCTGGACTGATTCTTTGACGAATGCATGAAAGCAGACGCTGGCAGCTGCGCGCTCGCCTCGCTAGAAACGTCGAAAGAAGAGCTGCGCGAAACGGTCCGCTCGTCTCTAAACCAGCTCCGGAATCAGCTGCTCGACACATAATACAAAAGTACCGTCGACCGACTTGTGACTTACGAACAGTTCTGGTACAGCGGCGTCTTCGCAGCATTATGGACGCCTCTGTGGAGTACACTGGCGCTGAACGACGGCCGCGCGGGCCCACCCCACTGGCCTCAGGGGAAAGACCCGCTTGCTCGCACGGATCACGCCCTGGCTCAACCACACTCTCTTCAGCCCCGTGTCTCTCGCGTGATGTTACCAGAACCAGCAGTGGACGGTGCCGAGGACACATCCGTATGTTCCGCGGCGACGCGTGGAAACCGCACATCTACCGTTGATCCTATCAACGGCCTATTACAACATACACCCGTGTGTCCGCTGGTCTCAGCGTGCGGGGCTAAAGATGCCTTTGCTGGATCAAGGGGCATGGACGTTGTTCCGTGGCTGTGGCTTCTGTCTGTGCTATGAAGCATCTGCGTGTGGTTTTGCGTGTGAGGAAGTGTACGCGTGGTGCAAGGTTAATTCCACCGATTTTGGTAATTCCGATGAACGTGTGCGCATGGATGCTCAGGTGTACTTTGAGGACCAGAAGGATCGTAAATTTCAAGTTGCGCAATCGGGGCTTAGTGCGGGATGGGATCATTCTCGATGGATCCAATGGCGAATGTACTCTAGAAGAATGCCCTGTCATTGGGAAGGTTTGTAGAGAGGCAAGTAGTTGTAAGCTTGGTCGACGGTTATTCGCTTTTTCATAGAGAATCTGAGCCTACAACTACATGATCTTACAAAATCAATCTCCGTCAATCTTACATGAGCCATAAAATGCAATTGAAGAGAATGCTTTCATTTTCCGCTATTGGTATAATCGGACAGGGCAAAATTCTCGACGAATGTCACACCACCTAAGTAGTGCGGACACAAAACCCACACAATAGATACAGACAGCCCATGTCCCTGATGTGGAAAGGGGACCCAATGGATGATCCAATGGGGACGAATGATATTCCAGGCAAGGGGCCTCGAGCAAAATCAAAACAAAAATTGGCAAGAACAAAGCCCACAGAGGAGCAATGATCGTGCAGAAAATCAATAAATCCGTGCGTCACTCACACCAGAACATAAGGATTGACAAGAAAAAGGATAGATCATACTCAAGACAAAGAAGGCCCTGAGAGGTAAAGAAATTCGTAATGAGCGTCTGGGTGGAAGACGCAAAAATAGAACCGCCGATAAAGATGAAGGGAAGAATCGACAGGAAAGCTGAACGGAACATTATGTACAAATGGGGTGAAGGAAGACGCCCACACTGTCAAAAGTATGGACGGAAAAAGCAGGAGTAGCGTGATGTCTCAAAAATAATTGCCAGGATGTCGCTATGCCGAAGTTGCGCCGTAAATCGAAGTAAAATAAAAAAAAACCCAATTTGCACCGCGCTTATGACTGCGACCGTTCGTTTGCCGTTGCTGCCTCGTTGGAAGACTTTTCTTTGTCCTTAGGTTTCCAAAAGTGCATCATTCGGCTGAGACGGCGGCCCTTCTTCTTAGTCTTGCCAGATGCATTGTTGGGAGGTTTCTCCTCTTGGCTGAGCTTGCTCCGCTCAGAATGTGTACTCCCGACCAGCTTGGAAAGGCTGGCTAGACTGGAGCGTTTTGAGGCATTGGCCTGGCTGGTACGTCTGGTACCAGCAGCCGAGAAGGAAGCCGCGCGGTCAGTCGAAAGTCGTCCACGGGGGAAGAAAGAAGCCGCCGAGAAACGATTCAGAGTGTTGGTCATGGTCGATGCACTGCTGGTCAAAGATGGAACATCTTCAACTGATGCGTAAGGATATTCCGCCGAAGGAAGATGTTGATATGAGCGACTGGAAAGGTTACGGTCGGTCATCGAGGATGCCGCAATGGATCGTGGAGCTTCTGGAGACGGGAAAGACGAGTCGGACGGAGAAACCCCCGGTTGCAACGCGAATGGTGGAATGTTGGGCAGCAGCTCAATGGGCGAGGTCACTGGCCGCTTGTCGATAGCTAGGAACCGAGGAGAAATCTCGGGACTGGGAGGTCTGGTCATTTGATGCGCAGGTTCTTCCGTCTTCAAAATTTTTACGGGGGTTCGGGGCTTGCTGTCGAAAGGATTGCTGGCATTATGCACCTGCTGAAGGACACTTCTTTGCTCCTGCTGTTCCCGGTTCAGATGTTTATCGCCTTGTCGAATGCCCAAGCCAGCATTTTGAGAGGAAATGCTGTCAGTGGGGGCGTAAGTCAAAGTATCACCCGTACCAGAGGTATCGTTGCTGTGAATGGATTTGAGATCATCCTCCGATGATGAGAAAACTGCTCTGTCAGTCGTTGATGCATCCACAGGAAGCCGCTCGCCCTTCGGTGATTGGGAAGCAGCCAGGAAAGCATCCTCCTCCTCCTCGTCAAACACATCGGGCGTTTCCACTGCCGAGGTCGGACCCAAACGGAATGCGCCTAGAGCTGCCCGGTCGAATGGTTGCATCGCCGGAGCACTTTCCGTGCGCCGATGGTACCGCATCTCTGGGCCAACAAATTCACCCCGTCTTCCACCGCTGTACATTCGTTGAGTTGCAACCGAAAATTTGTTGTTAGGCGCACCCTGCATCCCTGGTCGCATGTCTGGAGTGTTGAAAGGACCGAGTGCAGCATCGAGGTCGATGATAGGGCTACTTAGCACATTGTCGTTCGGACTAACTCCCTGTTCATAAAAACTTCTTGGTTTCCAAGAGCTCTCTAGGGATTGTGTAGATGAAGAACAACCTTGATCAGTTTGGTGATGACTTTGAATAGGGTCAAGCGCAGAAAGAGGCATTGTCGGGTTGGTCGGTGTACGGATGACAACGACACCGTCATTATCAAAATCAACATCTAAGATCGATCCCGTCCCCGAGTTGGTGCGAGTCAGAGCAGGGGGACGAAGCGCAAGAGTGCGAGGCACAGGCGGTTCCTCTTTTGTGTCGACCTTCGCATGGCGCTTACCCTTACCTTTGCTCTTAGTTCGAGTTAGAATGTGACCGGCCCAAGAGCGAACGCGTTTCTGCTTCTTCTTTTTCAACTTGATGGGGCATTTGTCAGACGAGTTCTCTGTCGCTTCATCGCCAGATGTTTCAGAACCATCGTCCGAGAATGAAGGCCGGTAGTTGTCTGTCGACTGGATATCATCGGGCGAGAGAGTAGAGTTGAGATGCGGTGTTGACTTGCTCTTCCGAGAGCGTGAGTGCCCAGCGGCCGAGTGCGACCGTTTGAAAGGGGTCCCCGAGTCATCATCCGTCTGCACAAAATCTACCGCCAAAGAGGCATCGGCAGTTTTTGGTCGAGATTTGGTGTTGTAGTCAGGTAGTGGAGTTGCTCGATCTGAGATTGTAGGTTTCTCCATCTCTTGCGTCAACTGAATTGTGGGCAAAAAATCCGAATTATCCTGCGAACTAGCGGAGACTGGTTGTTCAAAATTCGACATCTGGTTTTTCAAGGCCATTTCCACCTGAAGGGCAGCCGGAATGGAAGGCACGGGAGGGACGGGAGGGAGTTGAGGTGACGCAGGGGGCGTGGGGCGGCCAAGGCTGATAGCCGGTTGAGAAAGCGGTCGTGAAGGAAGATCGGATGCCGATTTGTGATTAGGGTCGGCGGGTGTAGATGGCGCACTTGCCATTCCAGAATTAGGGCCAAGTGCCTTGGTGATGGCCTTCAAGTCAACATTAGAGATCGCAGCCGAACGGCGATGAGCGTGGTTCCGTCGTCCAGGAACCCTACCAACACCAGGCCCTGGAGGCGGAAGATGTTGATCTGCCATGGAAGACGCCCTTTTGTGGCCTGGTCCAATTGTTTCCGGTGTTACCAAGTAATCAGTTCCAATAAACTCGCTTGGTCGCCGACGGTGTCCGCCCGCGCGAGGATTCGACAAGGAAGGTGCTGAAAATTGTGGTGACTGCTGTTCTGATCCGGGATTAAAAGAGAAGGCAGGCAATGCGGCACGTTCCCGGCGCTCAGGGGTCTTCAATTGAGTGTTGGGGCAATCTGGGTCCCGTGCTGGAAAGACGAATGGAGGATTAGGCAACGGTGAGTGCATATGTTGGCGACGATCGCGGCTGGCGGACTGTTTCGAGGTATCAAAATGTGGCGGGAAGCTCGCCTGAGACTGCGGAGGAAGTGAAATCGAAGCCATGGTCGAACGCAAGAAAAAAAAAGAAAAAACAGAAAAAACAGAAAAAAAAGAAACAAAACGATGCGGAAATAAAGAAATTTAGCGGAGTGACGACAAAGCCCGGTGAGATCCGGATGGGCAAAGACCTCCAGACCGACTTCCTTTCGGTGAGAAAGCCTAGGAATCTGGAGGTCAAGTTGAAGCACCTTCGGCGAGGGTCATTGAATCCGCGCCAGGCAGAAAGAAACGAGTGAAATCAAATCGAAGCGACCACCAGCGGTATCCAAAAGACTGGAAAATGAGCGGACGGCCACGACGAAGGCCAAAGAGGGAAGGGTGGAAAGGTTGGTCGTAGTGAGGTTGAAGAGAGAAGAAGCCAAAGAGAACAACAAGACCAGGAGGGGGAACCAGGACCGGAACCAGGATGGGAACTTGGATGGGAACTTAGAGCTGTATCTTAATTACCATACACGGTATCGCCCGTTGCCATCCGACGGGGGCAAACCAATCATTGGGGTCAAACATTGGGATTACATACGCCAGGGCTTCAAAAGTCTATTTTGTAGGTCTTGCTCAACTTCTCTTAATCAGGAAGACTACTCAATCCCTTGTACCTTCTCCCTTCAAAGGAATCAAACTCACCAGTACAGTATTCCAAGTACATTTAACATCTCGGGGCAGATGCCATATTGGGTGACATCTGTCAAAGGACCAAAAAAGAATAGAGAAAAGAAGGTTTTCTCTAAGGAATGTGACCATCCCTATGCCTCCTCATGCTCTAGACCGTATTTTTGTTCAACCACTCCATTCATAGAGCACGTCATGACTTGCCACCACAATACAAACCCGTATTCACTTCCAAGGTTAGTGTTCCTCCCGTGAAAAGTGGTTCATTACTCGCATCCACTGTAAGTGCATTGCACGGTGCCTGTAAAAAAGGCACCCATTTCAATCCTGGGGTCCGCAAGGCACCAATCAAAAGGGAGTCACATCCGGAGAAAAAAGCGGGTATCACTACCAATCAGTCGGTCTAAATGTCCATCCAAATCTCGCTTGACGTAGTGGGTCCCCGAGGGATAGTGCGCCACGCTGGGGGGGGGGGCTACAAAGTCAAGGGGATGATTTCCAAATCGGGGAAATGTATTCCTTGTTGAGCCCAGGCTCGGCCTTAGAGTGATTCGGTGAGTATAGAATTCTTATTGAGTGACTCTCAAAGTCAAAACATCGACTCCGTATGTGAATGACGGGAGATTGCCAGAGTTGAAACCCAACTTTCACTTTCCATCGCTTGTCTTGGCTGCGGAGTCAGATCGGATATAAATAGTGGCGCGAGACACATATTAGGGCTACTTAAAAGGGGTGGGGAGATACAAGAAACGGACTCTCCTGGCGCCTTGAAACAATTTTTCACCCCCTAGCGTTCGGTGGACCAGTTTCTTTGTTTAATCCAATAACAATGGCTACTCTGACGGAGGATTTTGGCGGGTAACTGGGTCGTGGGGGCTGATCGTCTTGAAATCAATTGGGGCGGCAACGGCAGATCCTGGCTTTGAATCTGGAAATGGTCTGCATACATGTGCATCGGTACCATGCTTTAACAAGTTGACTTGTCGAGTACTCCTTAGTTCGCGCTTGTATCTTATCGTTCTTCTCTACCTCACATTAACCTCAGAAGCTGTAAAATTACCCGATAGGTACACCGTAAAATGGACTGAAATGATCATTGAAGATTAATTTGCGCAGTGGATCTGATTCGCGGACCATGCGATTGCCAAGCCAAAAGGAAATTAACATGCAATCTACATCGTACTATGGAACTATGTTGTAGTACTTGCTAGAGTACGGAGTACAACGAGCTTAAGTCCGGATATGTGGGATGCCGGGAAACCCATCTGCCTAAGGTTCTATGTTAAGAAATGGTCATTCGGACATACCCGGAACAACCGTGGAAACTGGGAATACAAAAATTTCATGATGTCATCCTCAGTTTAGTATCTATTTACGATGAATCGATCGCTGAACCATGGAATTCACAATTTCTGGGGCAACCCAACCTTAGAAGTTTCCCCAAGTTTTCATAGATGCAAATGTAAAATACTTTCATCTTGACCATGAAAAAAAAATTGGAAAAGTCAATACGCCAGAAACGATGAACACTAAGTTGAATGCTGTAGATAAAAAATACCCCCCCCCAAAACATACCATGGTATACCATTATGCATCACTGTCAGACTCGAGCTCATCGTTCTCGAGATGTTTCTTTCGCTGCTCATTCATCTCTTTATACGTGCTGTAGCTCAACATGAAAAATGCGACCGTGATCAAAACGCCCCCAATAATCGAGGCCATCGAAAGAGAGTCTCCGGTTCGGAACCAGTCCACCAGTGCGACAAGGAAAATGGTAAGAAGAGCGGCTACTGATGATAGAACGGGTGACGTGAGGGAGATGAGCACTAAAAAAGAGCCCGAGAATGCTATCTTGGTGTTAGTCTCGGTCCTCTGTGCCTGTGTTGAAACGCTGGTTTGGTACTTACTAGCATTGGCACCGACGGAGATGAGCAGCATCCATGCTGCCTCGCCAGTCGGCCATTCAAATGTCTCCCATCCCGTCCAGTGCAAAAATGGCAATGGGATCCATAGTACTAACAGGGTAAAAACCCCGATGAGACTTCCAAAAGTATTGGCAAAAATCGTGCCCCGGCCTGGGCTGGTGCCTTCCGGAGGGCAAGCAAATCGTTTATAAAGCACCTCGTAAAGCCCATAGAGAATACTTCCAACGCCGATTATGATGTTTCCGAGTAATCTGTTCTGCGCCCCGTTCTCATCAGTGCCTCCTTTTGAGACCTTCCTGTTAGGCCTATCCCCGTAGGCAACGACCATAACACCGATGGTAGCCACAGCCACGGAAAAAACTTTGTCAACCCGAAGTTTCTCCTTCAAGAGCGGAATCGAAAAGGCATATGCGAAGAACGCCGAACAGTTGTAGATGGCCGTGAGGTCGCTGGGAGTGGTCATATTGACTGCCACGTACCATGATCCTCCGGCGATTGTGAGGGCAGTGGTTACAAAGGCGGTGGTCTTCAGCATATAGCGCACTGGAGACCGGGTGGACGCGCGAGTGCTTAGATGTACTTCCTGGGATTCTACCATCTGCGCAGTGGTGCGAAGGAAAAAGACGTGGCGCCGCCAGAAAGCATCCCACGTGAGCTTGCGTTTCTGTAACCGAAGGATACCTAGCTGAACCAGCCAAAGCAATGACCATGACCCATGAGTCAAGTAGCTGCATAGGGAAAGGAAATGGTAAGCGTTTATGTTTCCGAGGAACAGGTGTCGCGTGGGCTTGTCGGTGGCATCTTGGCGCTCAGACTTACAGCATGCAATACGGCTTCTTCCAGTGCAACCCATTTTGAATGTATGAAGCAGTCTCTGTTTGGACCACGAAGCTAATCAAACTGAGCAAGAGGAATCCCGATGCAACAAGGTATTTCTTGCGGGTTACTTGGGCAGCGTCGTATTCCGGGCTTTTACTCCGAATTGTCGGCCTTCTGGTTTCATGCAGCATGGGCCAGCCCTCTGCGTCGCTATTGCCAAGGCTTGAGCGGGGCCGGCGGTGATGGTCATCTTTAAGAAGGGGTTGTTGCGACCGGCCGTCTGTTGGTCGGTATAATGGGGGGCGATTGACAACCATCTCGTCGTCAGAGTCGAAGTCGTGAACTGCGTCCGGGGTTGAGGTCACCCGTGGCTCTAAAAGTTCAAAGCTATCTGAAGCCACAACGGCGATGGTGAGGGAAGGTGCAAGTCGGCTTAACTACCTCGACATGAATCCCGCCGTCAGGGGTGTTCTTGTCCGATTTACTGCGCTTGCGTGGGAAGATAGGATTAAGGAGCTGAGGCGTGGGCTATTGAAAGGCCAGCCATCCAAGTGATGCAGACAACGTGGCTAGAGTCTATATTCCTGAAAAATGTTAATCATGGAGCCTACTTCCACGTGTTCAACAGCCGCTGCACAGTCGTTCACCGGATACGTGCGACTCGGCACCGATGGGGGATAGTTGTGGCTCAAATTTAAGGTGCAATCCACCAAGTAACAATGATTGTATCGGATGGGAATCAAAAGGTAGAATTTTTCAACACTCAGGGTGAAGAAGATCAGAAATCCAAAGAGGAGTTACCAAATGACCGCCTTCAGGTGTCATCGTCCACTTGTGGACCCCTGTGAGAATAGCCACGTGATCTAGATCTGGTGAACGCTATTCCGGATTGGATTTAGCGCATGGAACTACGTCAGTCGGCGAAATTTGAAACGCTCCCCCTGAAATTAGATCAAAAGATATACGTGCAATGTACAGTGCTAAGGCCCATAGATCTTTCCTAATGATAAGTAAAGCGCATCTGACTACCGTTCTCAAGCGTTTGGTCTTACCTCAGCTCCTATGATAGAAATGTTGGTCCATGATGGATAGCTTCAAAATTCCTGGTACTGCCACTGCGTTTCTCTAGTTTCTGTTTTGAGCCCATGGATAATCCTAGATATTCCCCTCTGCCTTACTACTTAGATCCAAACACCGCCTTCTGAGTATCGTATGTATACTTTAGATCCAGGTGCCAGTAATTGGGAGAGTTGGCCTTGGCAACTAGCCAAGCCTGATCCAAAGCCTGCACAACCTCTTCCGGAAGTGGGCCCTTCTGAAGATCGGCAAGGTTACTCTCAAGTTGTGCAAAGCTGCTGACTCCCACCAAGACTCCATCACGACCACCCTTGTCCATTCTCAGAGCAGAGTGATGGCGGACCCAGCGCAGAGCCGTCTCTAGAAGTGTGAGACCGTGTTTCTCTACGACAGGCTCAATAATGCTCAGAGCCTCGAAAGTAGCATCTCTGAAGTAACGATTGCGATAGTTGAGTCCGGCAGAGCTCTTGTTGCTGTATCTGCCTTCCGCAGGAACATCTTTGGTCTTGTATTTTCCGGAGAAAAGACCACCGGCCAGCGGGTTGTAGATTACGATATCGAGACCGTACCGGTGGCATGCAGGAACAAGTTCAGTCTCAATGTTGCGCGCTATCAATCGTGTCAGCTGAGTGGCCACGGACTCGCACATTGAAAGTAAATCGAAGGGCGCCACCTACTAATAGCGTTATACATGGCCTGGTAAATGGTGGGACGGACCCATCCCCTCTCAGCACAAAGAATGGAAATTTCCGCCACTTCAAATGCTGTGAAGTTGCTGAGACCAAGCTGTATGAACTTGCCCTCCTTGTGCAACTGGTTAACGGCCTCGAGAGTTTCAGCAAATGGAGTGGCGCGATCCGCTGCATGCAGATAGAAAATATCGACAGTGTCGGTTTGCAACTCCCTCAAAGAAAGCTCCAGTTTCTCACGGACGACCTCCGGCTTGTGGAAGCCAGGCTCACTCGGGTACCATTTCGTGGCCAGAGTCAGTCCACGCTCCCTCCAGTTCGCCTTAGCTGTGAATGCTTCCTGCTCTCCGCCGACATAGATACGAGCGGTATCAACTTCATTGAACCCTTGCTGCTGGAAGTAATCAAGGCATTTTTTGTACTCATCCAGCGAAGTGATCCGAGCACCCTTGGCCTCATTTGGGCCAAAGGTCATCAACCCGAGAATCACTCTCGGCTGGGGGTTCTGTGCGATCAAAGGCATGGTGGGATTGAATTTTGTTCAGCGTAGGTGAGTTGTGTTGGAAGTGAGATGGCGTGCGAGGATTGCGGGGCTACTGGGTGGAGTGGCTCTTTTTTATACCAGCACCTAGGGCCAGCTCTGGCTAGTACTAAGAATTTGTAAGCCATTCTAGATTGATAACCTTGGAATGAATCAATTGCAAGAAATTTCGCGGGGATAAATCGAGATGTTAAAAAAGGCTTACCTTTCTTGGCAGATAATATCCGAAGCCACGAACGTACATACATATCCAATAGACCTTTTAAAGAAGTAGTCCGCAAGGCTCCTATGTTGTAGGAGAAGGTGGGGTTGCGGATGATCCCGATAGCGGATAATGGAACTCATCACAAGCCTCCATGGAGATTCATTGAAGAGCAGAGAACAGTCCTTCCCGTCAGTCTATCCAATTCAAATGATGAATCCCGCCCTTGAGCTGCGATATGATACAAACAAAATTATCCAGCTGGATCCGAGGAAAGGTGAACGGGATTATAGCATATTGATTATCAACCCCAATACCTCAGCGCACATGACCGAAGCCCTGAAACCCATCTTGGCCAACATGAACTACCAAGATGTGCATTTCGAGTACTTCACTGCTCCAGACTCTACTGTCGAGATCGACGGAGTCGAAATTGAACCAATCGCCAGCATCAACAACGCCGAAGAATCGTGCAACTCGGCGTTAAATTGTTGGCCCGTACGGGAGTTGATCGGCCATTACGACGCATTTCTTGTCGCATGCTACTCCGCGCATCCATTTGTTGGCAGGCTCAGGGAGGACATCGCGGCAAGCGAAGAAGCGAGCTCGACGAGAAACAAATACGTGACTGGAATCTTGGAAGCGTCTATCACAGCTGCACTCTCCTTAGTTAGTGGTTTCGCATTGCAAGGTCCAATCAATCCAGCGATAACGCTCCACAAATATCAGACGAAGGGCAGCTTTGGTATTGTGACCACTGGTTCCGCCTGGAAGGAAGAGCTCACCAATGCGGTTCAAGGAGCGCTGGGATATGATTATGAGGATGGGAGCTCCATGCACTTTGCGGGCGTCGAAACAACCGGCCTGACGGCAGTTGAACTTCACACTACAGAACCAGAGGAAGTTCGGCGGAGGATCATCGATGCTACCCGCAACCTGCTTCGGAAGTCGCAAAATCGTGTTACGGTTGTCTGTCTAGGTTGTGCAGGTATGGCTGGTATGGAGGAAGCGGTACGGGAAGGCTGTACCCAGGAATATGGACAACCAAAAGGCCAACGTGTAAGAGTTGTCGACGGAGTAGTTGCTGGTGTGGGAAACCTCACTACAGCCTTGAAGGCGAGATTTTGAGTGACATGGTGACATGGGGTGGGAGTAGGCCAATCAGATAGATCGTTTCGAGAAGACGAGATGTCAAATTTTCAGTCTAACTGGACAGAAGAAAGTATTCAAAATCAGACCACGCAACATTCTTGCTTGCACCAATTTAGTTTACATGCTACAAAATGTCGTGGCTGTCCAACACCGAAGGTAGCAAAATATTCTGCCTGAGGCAACAAGATCGACCAAGAAGTTCCCCGCGTGAACGCGATACGCGTTAACGAGTACTAGCAACACTCGACGGCTTCTGCGAAAAATAAGATGCCAAGGTCTGTCCGTTCTATCGACTCAATCATAACTGAGGGTCCTCTCTCCGGCTTGAATTTCGATGCTAATACTGGGGGGCAATTACAGAGAAATCATCACCATCCAAGCCGGCCAGTGCGGCAACAACGGTATGTGGCTCAACTCCGCGGTCCACTCCACGAGTCCCCTGGTCTTATTCTTTTGAACGGAGCCTACGAAAACATAGACCACGTCGCTAAAAATTTGGTCTATCTAGTCGGCAGTCAATTCTGGCAACAGCTCTGCCAGGAGCACGGAATCAGCGCAGATGGAAACCTGGAGGAGCATGCGACTGACGGGGCCGCCGGTGATCGCAAGGATGTGTTCTTCTACCAGGTATGTATGGGAAGATGTTGGGAAATTGTCGGCTTGGCGACAGAGCAAGAAGACTGGCTAACAGACGTGGGTAGAGTGACGACACAAGGTACATCCCTCGAGCGATCCTCCTCGACTTAGAACCCAGGGTAAATGCTATCCTTCGCCGATATATCAAATCGACATAATGACTGACACATACCGTTTGCAGGTCCTGAATGCTATCCAGACTGGCCCCTACAAGAACATTTACAACCCCGAGAACTTCTTCGTCGGCCAACAAGGTATCGGAGCTGGAAACAACTGGGGTACCGGATATGCTGCAGGAGAAGGTGTGCAAGAGGAGATTTTCGACATGATCGACCGCGAAGCAGACGGAAGTGACTCGCTCGAGGGATTTATGCTTCTACATTCGATCGCAGGAGGAACGGGCTCTGGACTGGGAAGTTTCATCCTAGAACGCATGAACGATCGCTTCCCAAAGAAACTCATCCAAACCTACTCTGTCTTCCCAGACACGCAGTCCGATGTTGTGGTTAACCCTTACAACAGCTTGCTTGCCATGCGGCGATTGACGCAAGATGCTGACTCGGTGGTCGTCCTGGACAATGGCGCCCTGTCACGAATTGTCGCTGATCGACTTCACGTACAAGAGCCCTCGTTCCACCAAACCAACCAGCTTGTTTCAACAGTGATGTCTGCATCCACAACCACGCTACGATACCCCGGATACATGCACAACGATCTCGCCGGGATCATCGCCTCGCTCATCCCCACGCCACGCAGCCACTTCCTTCTCACATCATACACACCTTTCACGGGTGCCAACATCGAGCAAGCTCGAACAGTGCGAAAGACAACCGTCCTAGACGTTATGCGTCGCCTTCTACAGCCCAAGAACCGCATGGTCTCCGTAAACCCCAGCAAGTCCAGCTGCTACATCAGCATCCTCAACATCATCCAGGGCGAAGCCGACCCGACCGACGTGCACAAGTCACTGCTGCGTATCCGGGAGCGTCGTCTTGCATCTTTCATTCCATGGGGTCCCGCCAGCATCCAGGTTGCTCTCACGAAGAGATCCCCGTACATTGAGGAAACCGGGCACCGCGTGAGCGGGCTGATGTTGGCTAACCACACCTCTGTCGCGACGCTCTTCAAGCGCATTGTGAAGCACTATGACATGCTCCGCAAGCGCAATGCCTTCTTGGATTCCTATAAGAAGGAAGCACCATTTGCTGACGGACTTGGCGAATTCGACGAGGCACGTGCAGTTGTGATGGATCTGATCGGCGAGTACGAGGCAGCCGAACGAGAGGATTATCTGGACCCGGATGCAGGCAAGGCAAACGACCTTGGAGTATGATATGAGATGCGGAGATATCATACCTTACCCTTTTCTTTTCTTTTTTCCTTTTTGCTATTTGGGCAGGCCAAGGGGGGGTTGAGCGCATCATCGGTGTCTGCGCCGGCGTCCACGGGCTTTTTTTTTACATTTACATTTTCCCTTTCTTTTTTTCCCCCGTCTTGTCTCTTCCCGTTCTTAACCCTTACCAGTGGACAAATCACGAAACCAATCCACGCTAGTCGCGATTTAAAATTGACCAGGAACACGTAGCCCGTGTAGAGCGTGCCAACGTGGTAAAATTCTGATGTGTACCGTTTAGTGCGTGTCTACAAGGGATCCGTGAGCAGATACGCAGTAGCATCCTAAGTAAGGCGATGGTGGGGATGTGTGGAGAGAGATGGTGAAATTGGGTAGCGTGATCGGCCCTCACTCAAGGCCTAACCCGGGAAATGTATACAGACGGCGTCACACCTACTCCGTGCTGCAGCATGGAGTACGATGTATGCAGTCCTGCATATGCTGTTGCCGATGCAATAGCTCCACGCGGATCATCCGTCGTGCCTAGGTGGACTTGACTCAGGCGACTCGTCGATTTGCATCGCAGACAATTCACTCGCTGCAGAGGTCATAGCTCCTTTTGTCCACTTGCATGGCCCTTTTTTTTCTCCCCTTTGCATTGGATTGAGTTGTATCATTGGGCACTGTAGAGTGCATATTTTGTATGATGCAGTAAAGACAAGTCCCTGGAGTACCGCAGTGGGAGAAGTCCGGATGAACATCTTGCCACCTTGGTGGCGCGGTAAAACGGGCAACCGAGATTTGGGATCTCTCGCATGTCTAATTCAATCCTAGTGAATAGTCAGTTGCTCCCTAGTGAGCTAATCGAGAAATTTCCGTTGTGTACACCTGACTCCTGAATCATCACGTGAAAGGGCGCCCTTGAATGCGCGAGTCAACATTCCGATCATTGGACCCGAGACCAGGAGCCTGGATGATACGTCCGCGTGGGTATGCAGAAGAATCCAGCAAAGTCAACGAGATTTTTTTTTAAAAAAAACCTGAAAGACCAAAGGGAACTCAAAAAAATTAAAAAAAAAAAAACTCTTTTAAAACTCTTCAACTGCATAGAACATCTCGGTTCAGTTAAAAGATAGGGGTCCAATTCGCCTTCCAAGGGTATAGTTTCTTAAAAATCACCTAACTGGGTGGAATATTGTATGATAATCTAATTTAGTCCAATATAAGATCCTATTTATTCGAAGAATTCAATAAAATCACCTAAAAATCCACTAAAAGCCCACTAAGACATCCCCAATCTCCTAGCCCCAACAGCATAACTTTGGGAACTCCACTTCTTGATTCCGTCACTGTCGCCTCACTGAGTCAGCCCCGTCTCTGGTTAGAAGTCTGTTTCTTTGGCTTTCTCCCGTGTCTTCCGATTGCCCTATATATAGGCTGGTCGTGCTGGCCTTCTTTCCCAGCCTCTCCCCCCCCCTTTACTATTTTTCTCTCAACAAGATTCTCGACTTCCCCGCTCACCTCCGCACTGAGCGGCGCTTATCTCAAGCTCTCTCTCTCTCTCTCCTCAGCGTCTCGCCGTCTCGCCCTCACTGCTACTTCCAACTTCTCTTCTCTTCCGTGGAAGTCCCTCTAGACTTGAACCTTCTCTCGACACCGCCTCCCTCCACCTACCGAACAACGTCACAATGCCTCCCCGCAAACCCCGGTGCAACTTCAAGGAGTGCAAGGAAGCCGCCCAGCGTATCGTCGGTGACTGCAGCTTCTGTACCGGCCACTTCTGCTCCAAGCACCGCATGCTAGAAGCCCACTCCTGCACCGGGTTGGAAGACTGCAAGAAAGAATCACATGCCCGCAACGCCGATAAGCTGAACAGCGAACGGACCGTGGTTGTCAAGGGCGTATGAAAAATGGATGGATTACAATCACAATGAGGAACAGCTGTTTCTTCGCTTTTGTCTAGGCCGAACATAGGGAGGGGGCGGATGGCGCCATCCCCCGAGAATGGCCCGGCCTAGTCGATGTAGGCTAGGGCCATCTTACCTCCTCACCCCTATCTTATCTGGCTGCCTCGGCCGATCAGGTGTCATCCCCTGCTAGGCTTGGCTTCGGTTCGCTTCGACCCGATTCTTCCCTTTCTTGCGTGCCTCTGCGGTGATCTTGGATTTAGCGCGGTGTTTCGTTGTACTCTTTTCCTCTACTCTTCTTTCTGGGAATTGGCTTTCGTCTTTTCCTTTGTTAGGTTGTTCGTGATCTACATCAAGATCAAGTTCGGACTCGGTTTTTGGCTATGGCTTTTTTTTGGGGGGGGGTTGAGGCTTTGGTCTACATTTGCATGGCGTTGTTATGGGTGTTAACATCTTTTGATCTTTTGATATTTATCACTTATCTACTCGTGCTGCTCCTGCTATATCTCGCATTTGGAGCACGCCTCTTCTCTTTTAGGGGACCGCCTAAATGGAGCTCTTCTGGGTCATTTCAGCCATGAACTATACATATCTTCGCAATCTTGAGCCTCTGTCTTGTCGGACACATTTTTCGTGAAAACCTCGTTTTGAATACCTCGGGTAGCTCGCGGATCGCGTCTGCATCGTGGCGGATTCTGGACCGCCATTACTACAGTTGGACTGACCGGTTTGAGTAGTCCAGAGATAATATTCTTGACCCGAAATTGTGTGGTCGCACTGAAACCCATTTGAAACACCGTAGAACCCATTTAGCCCGGTCCGATCTTTGGCCTAATGTGACAAGTCAGCTTATAGTCCTTCAGTGCCCAGAGAAATTATACAAAGGCATAAAAAAGCAAGACATACATATCATGATGCTCACTTAGTCGACTGAGATACTTGTTCAACTCCTCCACACGCTCTTTATGGGTTTTGACACCTTCGCGCTGGAGCCGCTCATGCAACTGTCCCGAACAGTCAGTTTTTCTGTACAACAAAGCCGAAGCAGAAACAGCCCGACCAACGACCAGAGAATGAACATACCCGTTTCCGACGAATCTCCTCGGCTTTCTTCTCGGCCTCAGTCTTCCCAGGCGCATCCCATTCCTTTTCTCTATTTTCCTCAGACCTCCTACCCGCACCCTTTGCATTTTCTGGCCGCTCGGTATCCGGCGTTGACTCTGACTTTGGCTGTGTCGCTTCTCCCTCCTTTTTCTCGTGCTTTTCTCTTTTTTTTCTCTACCCGTCCTCCGCTGATTTTACTCCCCTTCAGCTTGAGCTTGCCGCCGCCGATGGAATACTCGTCGCCCGCCATATCTGTGGCGCTGGTTTGCGCGATGAAGTCGGGTGGAACTATTCAGGATACCCTCTTTCCGTGTTGTAATGTGTCGCTTGGAGAGGGTCTTGGGCCCAAGGGGGGGGGGGGGAGAATGGTAAGCGTGTGTAGCGTGCGCGGCGTGCGGAGTAAGAGGAGGGGCTTGAGTCAGTCTAGCGTGTTGGCGCAGATGTGGGCGGTTTAATTCTTGTTTCGGATTTGGAGTGCAGTACACAACTGAGTGGATAGTATTAAATAGCTTCGTGTGTGCTGTTCATGAGTTGATTAAATCCGGAGGTTCTCTTGTCGCGGTTTGAGATTGGATTTGGGCCAATCAAAAGCGGTGGCGGGTTGAACTGCTCTTTTTTTTTTACATCGGACCTCGACACGATCTCGTAGATCACCCTCTTTGCTTAAGGGAATGGGAAAATAACAGAGCTAACCTTTCTACATAACTGATTGATCTCCTTTAGGGTGTACGCAGTTGAAACACACTGCCTCAAACAAATCACGTCTGCAAATCTCCCATGAATTGATATCTTTCCGAACTCCCCGCCGGCAGAGCTTTCGAGTTTTACAACTTCTATCCATCGTTGAAGTGGTGTGGCCCATGGGGGTCAGTTTTCTATTGTCTCCCTACTTCAACAACACAATATCCACGTAAATTTCCCCCAGCAGCAAAACAAATGCGCCGCTCTCAATGCTCGATCATCCACAACTTCCATGTCTCTGCCATCTGGGGTCCGAGGACTTTTTGAGCATTCGTCCCCTATTTTCAATCATGTATTGCTGTGTAGGTTTCGACAGATTCGACGATGAGAATGTCCTATACAACCACCGGACAGTCCAAAAAGACAAACTGCCTGTTTTACATCGACTGGAACGAGAGATACCGAAATTTCTCGTTTGCTATATTTGCCATATTCTTCATGAGTGTGACGGTTCGAAATGCTTCGGTCTGTCGGGCTCGGTATATGACCAGGAAAAATGACCTCTTCGATGTCTCCCAAAATGGAAAACAAAAAGCTGGCTTTGATTCAGAATTGAGAGATCAAGCACCGAGTTGGTTCCATGTCTACTGGGTTCCATGTCTACTGCCTATTCTAATTTCTCCATCTCTAGCTTGCTATGAGGAGATTCGACTATGGTGACAAGTTTGGAATCAGCACTGAGTCCGGGATCTTGCATTCAAGTTCGCACCCACCCTGGACCATCATCGTGCCTTGAAATCACCTCTCTCTTCTCGACCGCTGCACGGGTCTGTCCACAGACACCGGGAATTTGTTTAAGGATCCAGCGTATGAACTAGAGGCCTTGCGATCATGCAACCTTTCCTACCTTAAGGACCAGCGAAACAAGTGGATTATGCATCGAGTTCACTGGCGGTGAAGCATTTGGTATCTACCAACTAAACGTAATTGGGGACGTTCCTGGTTTCTGCCCTAAGGGCTAGCTGTCGAGGCGCAGACTACCCAAATCTGCCCCCCTCGCTCTTGCTTAAGTATCAGCCGGAAATACCCGTCTCATGTTACATCGAGTCCTATCTTTACTTGTCTAGTTGCAGGATCCAATTTGTATTGCTTTAATAAGCCCATAAGCAGGTGACATAGCTAAGTACTTGCTCTTTTAGAAACACGTGTCGAATCCTCTGTTACCATATGTGGTTGACAACAGGGTATGAATCCCTGGGAAATACTTGGACCACCATAATAGGGCAGTCTACACAACTTGCATGTTATATTTAGCTGGGTTTATCCGTATCGATTGGAAATAGAGCGTGTTTTGTCAGTATAGCTAGAGAATTGAAAGAACTCTTATGCATACCTATTCAACGTCCTATATATTGTTGCCCCACTGATTTTTATCAATAACTACTCTCTACCACTTTCTCCGTTTAGAAAGCACTTCGCATCAAGTCATGTAGTCATCCTCATATTCGATAGTGACAGAAGTCTATGGCATCACACGGCATAGGACGATCGACGGAGATACATCATTCTCTAACTACAGTAACAAAACTGCCTCTTTTCTAATCTCTGAGGATCAAGCTGACTGAGAATAACATACAATTCGTGTCGACAGCGCTATAATGGCGGTCCAAGTCTTTCCCAGGGATTCATACCCTGTTGTCAACCACATGTTGTAACTTAGTATATGACATAACATTCGAAGAAGTGTCTAGATGCGGGGTGGTCACCAAAATTGGAGCAATGGTCTGAATGCCCCGATCGATCTCATCGACCGGGTGAGCACGCATACCCCTTCAGTTTCAGTTGAACTGTGAATAATTCCAGGTTACTAAGCTTGTTCTTCAGGTGATGAATGCGTACGCCGCTTGGTACCTCTTCCTGCTTTCTATCAGCTCCGATAATGGTCTTCCGTGAAGGCGCAACGGACATTCTCAGTTTACCATAATCTATCTTCGCTAGGGGAACGTGACATATGAAGAAAACAAACGAACAACTAACCCACTCTTGGCTGCCTACTTTCATAAAGGCTTCTATCCTTCAGCTGTAACCAGTTTTTTATTACCCCATGTCTCTGGCCCCAGACATTTTACTTGACACACGGCAGGTTGGTCTCCGCACGACTGTTGCACCCAAAGGGTTGAAAAAGAAAGACAGCCCGCTCGTCATATTGAGCGACAAAGGGTTCAACCAATTTGAGGGTGTCTGCAGGAAGATACCCTATCAGGTTACATTGACTGAAAGGTGGTGGATGCGCTGGACTTGCATCCTAGCCTTCGTGGCAGGCTGGTGGCAGAAGTATCAGTAATTAATTCTCCAAGCTGGCTCCGGATTCTGCAGTCCCGGAAGCTCAAGATGTAGCAGCCATGTTTCTAATGAGGATCATTCTGAGAACGATTTGAGAAATGTAGGCCTCGACAATCTGAATGACTTGACACCTAGCGGAAGATCTCGACCCAGAGAAAGATTCTTGGTCAACAGCCATAATTAGACCACCGGTCTGAGTAACTAAAAAAAAAGGTAGCAACCGGTTTAGGCTATGAGATATAAATTAGATCGAATAATTTGTTTGGGGGTTTCGCTTACCCTGATCACTGACTAGGGCTCCATTCGGGATATGTAACGAGTCAAAGTTTAGAGGGTGATCTGGCAACGCGAAGAAAAGAGAGGGTACAGACGAAAAATTGATTCTTTAAATAAAAAAACAGAGAGCTAGTTCCTTTGTGAGCTAAACTAGTTCGTTATGAATCGCTAGATGAGGCCTGGAAAACTCGGCCGACAGGGCATCGAGGCTGGTGACTATCTCAACAGAGGACCCATTTAATAATCTCACTTCCAGCACATCTCCACCACGTCCTATGAGATATACAAGACATCTCAAACAAAGCCGGCGCTGATCACCCAGCTCGCATCATCGTTGAAAGACGTAGCGGAGTCAAATGTGTGGACACCGCCGTTGCTCGCAATGTAGAGAGTGTTCTCGAAGTGACGGAAGTAGCGGGTGGGATAGCTCCAGGATCGAATCGAGCTGCCCTGAGCATTGAAGCTGGTCTGCGGGCAGAACGTGGCATCTTCATGTAGTATCTTCGTGCCGTCGTCGGCGGCAAGCACGAGTGCGAAGTCAGAGTGCCGAATGAAGCTTCCCGGGGTATCGACGGACTCGAATGAGAAGCAAGCGCTATTGGCAAGACCGACGCGAACCTTCCAGCTCGCCTGCTGCTGGAGGGCGGTGGCGCTGGATGATGAAACAACCTGGGTGTTAATGGTTGTGCCGGTGTGTGCGATGTAGCGCGTCGTGTAGCCGGATGTGGTAGCCCGCAGCGAGATTGACGAACCGACGGTGAGCGCCTTGCCGCTAGTCAGCGGCGTGGTCGCATACCGGGCTGCTACAATATTAGCCTGCACCGCATTCTCGGTGGCATCCGTTGGATAGCCGGAGGTCATGACGCCCTCGTAGAACGTGCCCTGGGCGCCGTGACTGTTGTCGCCGCCGATACCAAGGACGATGGCACCTTCTTTGCTCATAGGGTTATATCCAGACGCGTTGGGACGCGCGCCACTGTAGTATGTTGATAGGGAACCGGCGGCAGCATTGCCGCCACGGAGGGCCCACCGGTTTGGCCCTCCCTTGACGATCGCAGTGAAAAAACGGTCGGACAACGACGGGTCGCCGGCGTTGTAGGTTGGGCTGGAGCCGGAGAACAGGCCGTTCTCCAGGTCCGCCATGAGCCACGGGCCACCCCCTGCGCCGGAGCCCCAGGCGGTGCTGTCCCCATAGTAGATGGCCTCCATGTGGCCGTTGCCCGTATCGGTACTGCTAACCTCGGCATTGCCGTAGTCGAAGCAGCATGCACCGTTGTAGTGGGTTCCATCAAGCACGGCGTACATGCCCTCCGCATCATCCCCTGTAGCCGTGCCGCTGGCGGCGTTGTTGCTGTAGCCAGTTCCAGGAGAAATAAAGACACCGTAGGCCTTCTGACCGTTCAGCGTGACCGGTGCACCAATCGCACTGGCCAGATTATCGTGGCCATTGGCTTCAGGGCCGCGGAAACCGCCGGGTGGAGCCTGTTTGAGATGATTACCGCTGCCAGACTGGTCATAAATGATCGTGATGATGCAAGTTGTGCTTGAACAGAACTTGTCCTGGGCAGCGGCATTGGCCACCCCGCCCGCGGACAGCGGCGAGATATCGATCGTGGTACCATCGGAGTCCCGCTTAACCTGGTAGAGTGCGCCAGTGTAGGCGTCGTACAGGGCACGAGTGGTGCTGTGTGCGGCGATGCAGGGCGTGTTGCCTGAAGCGTAGATATCACAGGGCCCGGCTTCAACAAGTGTGCCAGTGGCAGCAAGGCTCAGAACCAACGCGCAGAAGCGTTCGAAGCGTCGTCGTGAGAACATGTTTGATTGCCTTTGGAATAGTAGGTCAGGCAGGGCCTGGTCGCCTTTGAATCCAAGATAAGGATGCTGCAATGGGCCTTGAGTAGAATAGAAGAAGGGCCTTTTGCCATGCCGTCCTCGGCCTTCATATTTATATTCTTCTGTCCGCCAAGATTGCTTTTTCGAAATCCTTCACTGCTACTCAAGTGGCGGTAATTCTCCTCCAATCATCATGGGTAAGACGCAGGATTTACTTGATAAATCACATAGGGGACCGATGCTCGCCACTGTCCCGGCTGAAGCCAATCAATCGCAGAATCAAACGACGCTATTCATAGAGCTAGTAAGAATCACAGTGAATCACACAACCTCTATCTTGTGACAGAGAAAGATAGGCTTCGGTCCGCTCCAGATGCTGTCAAGAAGCCTTTCACTCACCATAGAGAGAGAGAGAACTCCGATGAGAATTAAAAAAAAAGAAAATTTTGCGTCCCGTCTCATCGTAGCGTTAAGCTTGTGCCACCGGGATTTTTCCTTTTCCTCTCGCCATGGAGTGAGATTGAATGGGTGATTGCACCGCAAGCCTAGCGTAGGATTAGTGGCGTCTGGGCAGTCCAAGCTTAGCAGGGACTTGACCTGAAGATGCGGGGCTGAGGGGCACTTCCACGATGATGCTGTTATAACGTATACTTCGGAGTATTAAATGAAGGCGTGGCTCAAAATAGCTTAGACTTCTTGGGGACTAATCATATGATCTAGCAAGTTCCTTAATTAGGCCAACAAGTCCGACATCATTGATCCGGCTATCCCGTTCGTGCCGGACCCAATTTGAACTTCACTTGAACCAAAAGTCTCTCTGATTGTGAGTTGAGCTGGGTTCGGGAAGATGTGTGTTCCTGCATTATAACGACGTGCCTTATAACCAAAGACGGTAGGACCGTCTCGGGTTTAGACGGCCATCTCGTCAGCTTTGAAATAATTTTCCCGGTCCAGAACTAGCGTGATAAAATCTTTCCGGTGCGCTTTCTTCAGAACCCAACTCTGCAGAAGTGGGCTTGGCAGATGTGTTGTCTCTTGAAACTGCGGGGCTGATTTCCTTGCTCCAATTGAGAAAGCTATGCGAGACGGCGATATCAGAGGAAAGACACTGGAACAAACATTCTACATGCTAGAGATGGGATAGACCGGTCAAACCAATAGCATCTAATCCAGAGCTAGGATATCTCTCTTTTAGTAGACCTGGACCAAACCATCATTTCATCCACCTAGATCTCTCGTCTGTGAGGTAGCGTACACATCGCGGGAAGAAGTATATTTGCTGCCCAGTGCGCTTTTGGGCTATTGACTTCATAAATGATCCGCTGGATGGGGGATATTAGAAAGATTTGAAGTACAGGGAGTCCCGACAAATTCAAGCAGTCAATCCTCAACTCGGATAAGAGCATGGCTTCGGTTGAATCCTACATTAGACGAACTAAGATTTAAAAAAAAGCCACGGGGAGTTCACCCCCCCGATCAAGATATCGTTTAGGGTGAACGAATGGATCTAGTGATGCCACACTCTCTCTAAAGGTCAGCAAATCATCAAAGAAATCAGAGCCTGGACAATGAGAATGTCCAGAAGAGACGGGAGATTCCGAACGCCACCACGTACCGATGCTGGTTACCGAATTAGGATACAAGAAGGAACCGGAGATTTTTCGGCTTTCCTGGTAGAGGCTTGCAGGATTTCGACTAAGAAGTTGATGATGGCATCCCTTTGCCCGAGCAACTGCCGGGAATGATCGGATTCTTTACGCCACAAAACGAAATACGACTACCAAACGACATCCTACCAAGACAATAGCATGATCAATTCAGACTTCCAAGTTGACTACACTGTTGGGAGTATAGGAATTGGACACATGTGCTGGATATCGAAGAGAAGTTGTGGGAAACGTATCTATGGAAGGGCGATACTTTGCTGAATGTTGAGAGGCGAGCAGCTAGGAGTAAGTGTTGAACGAAAT